GGAGTAGTTGAAACTATAGGCACCCACCACCACATCCGGCTAATTTTTCTATTTTTAGTCGAGACGGGTCTCGCTGTTGCTCAGGCTTGTCTCAAACTCCTGGCTCCAAGCAGTCCACCTGCCTGAACCTCACAGAGTTGCCAGGATGACCGGTGTGAGCCGCTGCACCTTGTCTGGATGTATCTTAATAATATGCGTGTGGAAAGACAGATAATGCTGCAGTCCAGGTCCTAAGGCAGCATTTTAAATAAAAATGTAATTGTACTACTAAAACCCAGATGTGGATATTTATTTGTTCCTTTTGCTCATCACAAAACTGAATTGAAACTTTTGAAAATTAGACCCAAGACCTCAGAATACTCGATAATAATAGTTTGCTCCCATTTTGACAAGTACTTTTTTTTTGCAGTTTTTGGCTGGGGCTGGGTTTGAACCTGCCACTCCGGGGCCAGTGCCTTACTCATTTGAGCCACAGGTGCTGCCCTTGACAAGTACTTTTTGCATAGAATTTTGTGATACCACTGAATATAATGGGAGGCATGAAAATACCTTTTAAAATGTAGACAAGCTTCCTCTAAAACTTAACTTAGTTACTCCACAGTCTGGATAAACCTATACCCTTTTTGCAAGGACATAATTAGAACCTTGATCTTATACGTGTATGTAAATATAAAGAAGAAACAGAAGTGCAGCCTGTTTCCTTTTCTCCCTATCTCCCTGTAACTGATTGCTTCTTTCAACTGATCATTTTTAATTACACTGTAGAAGATACAGCTTTAAAATTTTTAGTCATGTCAAATGCATCTAGCTTAGATATTTATCTTATTCTGGTTGCAACTTCCAATGACAGGAATGTTTTTATATGCTACTTCTGCCTGGGTGTGGTGGCTCACAATGGTAATCCCAGCACCCTGGGAGGCCAAGGCAGGTGGAGTTGAACTCAGTAGTTCAAGACCAGCCTGAGCAAGAGCAAAACTCTGTCTCTACCAAAAATAGAAAAACTAGCTGGGCATGGTAGTAGTCACTTGTAGTCCCAGCTACTGGGAGGCTGAGGCAGGAGGATCTCCTGAGCCTAGGAGTTTTAGGCTGCTGTGAGCTATGACACCATGGCACTCTACCCAGAGAGACAGAATGAGAGTATGTCTCCAAAACAATGATTAAAGGTGCCGGTGGCTCAGCAGGTAGGGCACCGGCCCCATATACCGAGTGTGGCACGTTCAAACCTGGCCCCAGCCAAACTGCAGCAGAGACATGCCTGGGCTTTGTGGCAGGCGCCTGTTGTCCCAGGTACTCGGGAGGCTGAGGCAAGAGAATCACCTAAGCCCAAGAGCTGGAGGCTTCTGTGAGCTGAGATGCCATGGTGCTCTACTGAGGGTGACAAGGTGAGACTCTGTCTCTTAAAAAAAAAAAAAATACTATTTGTGATTGTGATTGGAGAAAAACATAAATGTTAAATGATCTGCACCCTGTGTGGATTCCAGCAAAGTTGCATAATATTATTAGCAGGCAGTTCATCTTCAGGAATCCCAAGCCAGTGGTTTTGCCAACAGCAAACAAAATGTGTCTGAAAGTTTTTAGCTTTGGCATTAACATGCAACCTTAAAAAACGTTTGAATGTGTAATATATCTTCAAGCCTCTCCTGTCAATTGCCAGTATGTGACCTTGTGAGGGATGTTTTATCTTTCACAGGCTGACCAGTTTTCTGTAGGCATATCAAGCTCAAAACCTAAATAACACATTTGACCTTCCTTCTTAATATTAAGATTAAATATTTGATCTGGTCCATGTAAAATTATTGATTACCCACTGCACGTTATTTCCTGTCCTTATTGCTTGAGAAAAACGATAATTAATTGGTTTATATACATGAATCTAATTTATAACATTGATTGAATTTTTTATCCCTAGAACACTTAAAAGAGAAACTGGATGAATATATTAAGCTGTGGAATGGTCTAGTAAAGGTATTTCGAAATGAGAGAAGAGAAGGTTTAATTCAAGCTCGGAGTATTGGTGCTCAGAAGGCTAAACTGGGACAGGTAAGAAACGTTTCCTCGCTACAACATGCACGTTTTGGATTTGGTAACTCAGCATTTTAAACACTCTGTAGTTTTGTTTTTGTTTTTTTTGTTTTAATTTGAAACAAGAATGCTGGCTGAAACAGATAACTTGTGTGTCAAATCTACTATAGCACTAATTTTTATCCACATCTAACTTTAAATTGTGTGTGATATATGATGTACCATATATAAGGAGTGTTCTTTCACCCTGCCTCTGTTTTTTTAAGGTTTTGATATACCTTGATGCCCACTGTGAGGTGGCAGTTAACTGGTATGCACCACTTGTAGCTCCCATATCTAAGGACAGGTAACATTACCTTGCTTTTTTTTTTTCTTTCCTGGTTGAAAAGTAAACCTCGTCCTAAAAGGGCAAATACTATCCTCATTCTTTGATTTAGTTCCATTTCGAGTATCGACTATTATGTGTCAAGCATTACCCCTCTGCTAGTTGTTTGCTGGGGGGGGGGAAGTTAGGCTGATACTTTGAGTTGATTCAGAAATGGGCTGTATAGGAGAATCGCCTTGTGGTTGGGTTACTAAGACTTCCTCTGCCTCGATGAAGGTCTCTAAGAGCTATTTCAGTCACTCTCTAAGCTGAGCAAGAAGAGTCCTAAGACAGGGCAAGGGGAAAGCAAAGTATTCCATGGGTCTTACTGGGTTTGAGCAACAATTATTTGCTCTATTGGTTATTTTTACTTTTATGTAAACTACTGTTGGTGAGAATAAAGAAATGCTAAGCATTAATTAATTGAAAACTATGTAATGAGTAGCAAATTGATAAAACCAGAAAAATAAGGGGAAAAATAATATAAGGAATATAAATCATAAAAAAAAGTTCTAAAGACTTTAGGGAAAATTCTTTAAAATGATACCAGTCAATTGTTTACGCCTTTTCAAATGATAACTTTAAATAGGAAAGACTTATGATTTCTTGTGTCTAGGCTTCAAGTTCCTACAGAAACTGTAACATTTAGAATAGCTATACTGTGGAAATGTGGCACTAAATTTCCCCACTAAATTTCCAGAAACGTCTGAAATAAGAGAAAGCACCGGCAGTTTCCTAGTTCTAAAAGCTTTCTTTACAGTCCAGAAATCCAGCCACTTCAGAATCTAGAAACATAAGTCATGTTTCTGTGGCAAATGTTATGAGTCAAAGAGAGACTTGGGAGGATTTAACGATGAGTGGGTTTATTCTTCATTTATTCATTTTTATTTACTTATTTTTGAGATAGTCTCACTCTGTTGCCCTGGGTGGAGTATCATGGTGTCATAATTGCTCACAGTAACCTCAAACTCCTGGGCTTAAGTGATCCTCCTCCCCCAGCCTCCTTAGTAGCTGGGACTATAGCTGCCTACCACAACACCCAGCTAGTTTTTTTCTTCTTAGTAGAGATGGGGTTGCACTCTTGCACAAGCTGGTCTGGAACTCCTGAGCTCAAAGGATCCTTCCACCTTGATCTCCCACAGTTCTGAGATTATAGGTGTGAGCCACAGCACCCGGCTAATTTTTATTTCTTATTTAGAGGTAGGGTCTCACTCTGTCACCCAGGCTGGAATGCAATGGCACAATAATATCTCATTTGTAATCTAAACTCCTAAGCTCAAGTGATCTTCCCATCTCAGTCTCCCAAGTAGCTGAGACTACAGGTACCTGCCACCATACTCAGCTAAAAAATTTTAACTCTTTTATAGAGATGAGGGTTTTACGGTTTTCCCAGGCTGTTCTTGAACTTGGGCCACTGCACCTGGCCTCAGGAGCAGACCCAACATCATGAAGGCCTAAGCTTCACAAGCATTTTCACATGCTGCCTGATTCAGTCCTTACAGCAACCCTACTAGGTAGAGATTGTTATCTCCATTCAGCTGAAGAGGTTACAGAGGCTTTGAGAAATTGAATAATCAGCCCTAAATCAGATAGCTAAGAAACTGTCCAACCAAGGTCTTTCTGGAACCCTTTATACTGCACTGGTCATTTGAAAGTGTGAAAGTCATGAGAAGGAAGGAAAGACAGCTGGCTGAGAGCACCAGGTGATGCACCCAGGTGGGCTTTCGGGGCAGGGAGAAGGTGACTTCCCACATGGGCCAGTGGCAGCCCGGAGACTCCCACAGAGACCTGTCTTCCCATTCGGAAGAGAATGAAGCACATTTTCTAGAATTAAAGCCCTGAACTCCATAGATTTGTCCCTTTTTCTTCATGTCTAAACATCTGTTATAAAAAGTATCTTGACCTGGTTATGAAAAGCTACCATCTCCATTTTAGAAAAATAACATTTTAAGATCCTTTCTGAAGAGATGAGCACAGAAAGGATGAGGGTGACAGATTATCTTTTAACGTCACCTCTATGTCTAACTGGTCGCATGGGACAAGTGTTCTTGTCAAGCCTAAATGTAGGGATTTTATTTTTCTCAGCTCTCAGACCACTTGTTGGGTTCTTCAGCAGATTTTGAGGGACTTTTTTTGCTTGTTTTTTTAAAAAGCAGCAATACTGTATGGCACCTTAGGGCTTTTTTGTTTTTCACTATAAGCTGTTTTTTGAAGTCAGAGGAATGGGGAAGAAGATGAAGTAAAAATACAGAAACACACTATCATAACAACTGCTTCCAAAAGGAGCAGAAATCAATGAAGAGTTGGGAGAACTGCGGAGAATGTGGCAAGAGGCCCAAGGGGCTGGATCGCTACTAAATATAGAAAAACTAGCTGGGCGTGGTGGTGGGCCACTCGGGAAGCTAAGGCAGGAGGATTGCTTTAGTTTGAGGTTGCTGTGAGCTAAGATGCGCCGGCACTCTACCCTGGGCAACAGAGTGAGACTCCGTCTCATCTTAAAAAAAAAGAATGTGGCAAGAACTGTGCACCCACATGTGCACCCACACACTTTTGTAATGGAGAACAAGGAAAGAAAATAACAGGTAGGACAATCTTATAAAGAAAGCAAAATTGTAACCTAATCCTTTGTACCCTCAATAAATCCCAAACATTTAAAAAAAAAAAAAAAAAAGCAAAATTGCAAAATTACCAAGAGAGAGTTGCCTTGTAGGACCAAAGCAAAAAGGACAGAACACTGATCAGGTCAGGAGCGCAGCTCCTCGTCTCCTGACATTGTCCGAAAGTCTGGGGGAAGTTCCCTCTCTCCTGCCCTGACACCAGCAGGCTGTTTGGCTTTTAAGGGACGTTCATTTACTATATTTCCCATTCGATTTTAAAGTCCCCTAGTGAAAAAGGAAATCAACAACAAAAAGGACACTAGCCAGTTTGGGGTTCTTAAATGCTTTTCTTATTTTCTGTAAATGTTTCAGAACTACATGTACTGTGCCTCTAATAGATTACATAGATGGGAATGATTATTCCATTGAACCTCAGCAAGGTGGGGATGAAGATGGTTTTGCCAGAGGGGCCTGGGACTGGAGTTTGCTATGGAAACGTATCCCTCTAAGCCACAAGGAAAAGGCCAAACGAAAACATAAAACTGAGCCCTATCGGTAAAGACTATTTACTTTTATTCTCTCATGTTGAATGTTTATCTAAGTCCTTTTTTTTTTCTTCCTTCCCCATGAACTCGTATACATACGTGGGCCCACACACACCGCCTCCACTTGACCTTCAACACCACACAGAACCATTTGCACTGTGCCCCTCATAGATGTCATAAACGGCAACACTTATGAGATTGTGCCCCAAGGGGGTGGTGACGAAGATGGGTATGCTCGCGGGGCGTGGGACTGGAGCATGCTGTGGAAACGGGTGCCTCTGACCCTCCGAGAGAAGAGCCTGAGAAAGACAAAAACTGAACCGTATCGGTAATCATTAAATCACTTACCTGTTTCTCTCTCCTCCATCTGCTGCTAATCTATTAACCTCCTGCAAAGCTAAACAAACACCTGTTACTGCAACTATGTATGCCGTCTCAGATTCCGAAAGTCTTTCCCTGTGCTGTTTCCGAGCTCTGAATTCACATTGGTAATTGCTTTTACCCTAAATGCAAGCTCCACTGCTGAGAATCCCTCTCTTTTCATTGGGGGGTGGGGGGGTGGAATCACATAATAGAGGTCAGTTCCACATACAAGTGAAAAGTAAAGAAAATGTTTGCGGCCTTGTCCTACTAGAGATCAGATTTTATTCTTTTGATGCTAACATCATTCTCAAAATGCATCAGTTACTTACAATCTGAGACTTTTTCCATTTTAATGCCTTGAGGTGTAATGTTAGTGAAAGGCACTACCAAGAGCTTTGAGGTTCCCCCTTTTGTTTTTATGCTGGCTCTCAACTACTAAATTTTGTAGGAGTTAAATCTGATGAATAAAAATATGTAACTTTATTTATTTTGAGACAGAGTCCCACTTTGTCACCCTGGTAGAGTGCTGTGGCATTATAGCTCACAACAACCCCAAACTCCTGGGCTCAAGCTATCCTCCTGCCTCAGCCTCCCAAGTAGTTGGGACTACAGGTGCTCACCACCATGCCCAGCTAGTTTTTCTTTCTTTTTTTTTTTTGAGACAGAGTCTCACTATGTTGCCCTTTGTAGAGTACTGTGGCATCACAGTTCACAATAGCCTCCAACTCTTGGGCTTAAGAGATTCTCTTGCCAGTGGCGCCTGTGGCTCAAAAGGGTAGGGCGCCGGCCCCATATGCCAGAGGTGGGGGGTTCAAACCCAGCCCCAGCCAAAAAAAAGAAAAGAGAGATTCTCTTGCCTCAGCTTCCCAGGTGGCTGGGACTACAGGTGCCCACCATAATGCCCAGCTATTTTTCTGTTGCTGTTGTCATTGTTGTTTAGCTGCCTCCAGGCAGGGTTCAAACCCGCTGGCCTCTGTGCATGTGGCCGGCACCGTAACCACTGTGGTACAGGCACTGAGTCTAGTTTTTCTATTTTTAATAGAAACAGGGTCTCACTGTTGCTCAGGCTGGTCTTGAACTCCTGAGCTCAAGGGATCCTCCCACCTCAGCCTCCTAGAGTGCTGGGATTACAGGCATGAGCCATTATGTCTGGCAAAAATACATAACTTTAAAAAATGTTATAGAATCCTTTATTTCTTCATTCTCAGAAGAGCACTTGATTGAAAGAAAACTTTTCTAAAATCAGCTTTTGTTCCATCTTGTGGTTCTTTAAGTAGAACAATTTCTGTTACTCTTTTCTTTTGATTTTTTTTTTTAAGAAACAAGGTCTTGTTCTATTGCCCAGGAGTGCAATGGCAGCATCATCGCTCACTGCAGCCTCCAACTCCTAGGCTTCAATGATCCTCCCTCCTCAGCCTCCTGAGTATCTGGGACTACAGGTGCCTGCCACCACACCTGGCTGATTTAAAAAAATTTTTTTTTCTAGAGACAGGGTGTCCCTATGTTCCCCAGGCCAGTCGTGAACTCCTGGCTTGAAGTTATCCTCCTAACTTAGCCTCCCCCAGTGGTGAGATTATAGGTGTGAGGCACCTCTTCTGTCTGCTTCTTTTGATCTTTTAATTGGAAGATTTTGCTGCCTTTCAGAAGTGACCCAAAATGAAACATTGGCTCAGATGTTAGTATAGCCATCTCCTGAATGTGTCTAATTTTATTTTTTTGAGGTTATGGTTCTGCTTTTGATCTCTCTCTCCTGTTACACTGCTGATAATGTTAGAACTCTGTTTGGGGTAGGTGCTTCCGATGTCATGGAAATGCTGGTGGGATTTGGGCATGTCATTAAAGCAAGATACTGAATGGCAAACATAAGGAAATTATAGAACTTTAAACATTATTGGACAATTACTAAATTTTCCTTTGTAAATTTCTTGTTTGAAACAGTCCAGATATCTACTGCTTACCTCCTTAACCTAACAAATAATTCTGGGAGGAAAAAGAAGGGCGCTGAGTACATTGATATTTCAGCTAATTCCATAGGCTAGGCTAGTCAAGACATGTTTCAATGGAGCTGGAAAACTTTAAGGGAGTTTTCCATTTAATTAACTCACAAGACTCCATGTTAAAATACATGCTGTGATGTACGGGAATATATTTAAAGATCAAAAAGGTACACTTATAATGGAATCTCTTTAAATGATGGTTAGATAAAAGTTCCATGAAAAACTATCACCAGAAACTGATGGTTCTATTTAGTGATTCAGGTGGCATACTTTAAGAAGAAAAGGCACAAGAAAGTGACTTTCTCCTGATCTGACAGTCCTTTACAACTGAAAATATGACTCAACTCTTTATCCACTCAACAAACATTTATTGGGTGTTTACTGTGTTGCCAGGCACTATTTTCTGGGGATAAACTTAAAAAGACTTTCTCGCTTATTGAACTTAAAATAGTATGAGTCAGACAGAAATCAACAAATTACTACATGGGTAACTCAGATAAATACTGTGAAGGAAAAAAATCACACCGACAGAGCTTTATGTAAGGGAGACCCTAATCCAGCCAGGAGGAAAGGGCCTGAGGGAAGGAGTGTGCCCTGGCTGCTGTGGGACTAGACTCCGGTGGGACAGAATGGAATAAGGACAGGTGTCCAGGAGACACTGCCGTGTTTAAGCACTGTTGGCCTCATCTAGAGTTGAGGAGGTGAAATTGGAAAGAAGCAGACAGACTTAAGATATATTTTTAAGGTTGAATAACTAGGACAGATTGAGTATCAGGTGTGATGGTGAGGAAGGGACCTCAAGAGTGTTCTGTGCCCTAAAACTTTATCTTGACTTGTTAATAGTTAATTGCACAGTAGTGAAGGCAACAAGAGCTGGATGAAAACTACTCTGTCATAATTTCTCCCAGTATGGGAGTGACTTGTCCCAAAAAAAACTACCAAGTCTTTATTCTCTTGCCCCTAAAAGTACCTGATTCAAGATGCGTTCAAGAAGCCTCACAGATGACCCGTTTGCATTCCTACCTCCTAGCACGGTAAATAGCTGTGTCTGATTCTCCTTTGTGGTTTCTGTGCTACCTTTGCAAACTAGGAATGAACTGGGGCTGTTTTACAATGATTTACACCATTATTTGGCAAGCTCTTGAGCTGTAAAATTAAAAAATGATGGACCACTTGCATGGTGTATGGTTTTGTTCATCCCAGAACAGTTCATCAGTCATCACAGGAGCAGTTAGCAGACCATGGCTGTGGGGCTCCATGGTTTTAAGAGAGAAAGAGAAAATTGTATTTTAGCTAAAACTGAAGCTTGATTTTGAAATCAACGAAGGCACCAAGGTGCCCTCTAATGGCAAAAAACAGTATAATTTGGTTTTGGTTAGAAACCAGTAAATTTCTCTAGGAGTTAGGAACAAGTTTTATAAAGGTTTTTATAATTTCTTAATGTTTGGCCATCAGTTTCGTCTCTTCCACGCATTATTTAGGTTGTATCCTAAAAGGTTTCTCTTCTATCGGTAGAGGGATATTGGGGATTTGTCTTAAATTGTTATCGCAGTTTTTCTTTTCCTTAGGTCCCCAGCCATGGCAGGGGGGTTATTTGCTATTGAACGAGAGTTCTTCTTTGAACTGGGTCTCTATGACCCAGGTCTCCAGATCTGGGGTGGTGAGAACTTCGAGATCTCATACAAGGTAACATTTTATTGAAACGGAGGCAGTTTTCCAAATAGTTACTGACTTTTGTAGCTTTCACATAAAGTTGGTTTCTTGGTACATTTTTCTTTTTAAGTATAATGAATTTCTCCAAATTGCAAAGAATGACTTAACCAAAATATATGCCTTTGGGGGAAAAATAAAACAAAATTCAACCTCCAAACGTACCACATATTTCATAGGGCTCAGCTCAAAATTGTGGCCATCAAACTTCGGAAATGGAAACACCATGCCTGCCCTTTCCAGCTTTCGGTACATGGGAGCCTTTTCTTCAGAAGCCATTTAGAGAATCTGCAATGTATGTTAGGGCCATGGTTGACTATCCACTGATGCAGTCACCCTTTGTCACTGTGTAGGACATGATGGCTCCAGACAGAAGCAGAGCCCCACGGTGACTGGGTCCTCAGCCTGACCCTGCCAGCACCCCCTGTTGAGCCAGCCCTGGGGCCATACACCTCCTGTGCTCCTACCCCACCTCCACCCCAGTCCTACCCCCATTTCACAAAAGGGAAGCCCGAGTTAAACAGGTATTCCTTACCTCTTGTCTTAGATGTCCTGTGCTGGGCACTGTCAGGGGTAGAAGAGAGCGCATGTAACCCAGTCTTTGCTATTAAGAAATTTACAGTCAATAAGGAGAGATCAGAGACTCACACCTGTAATCCCAGCATTCTGGGAGGCTGAGGTGGGAGGATCCCTTGGAGGGATCAGGACCTCAGCAGGAGCTCAGGACCAGCCTGAGCAAGAGTGAGACCCTGTCTCTACTAAAATTAGAAAAACTAGCTGGGTGTGGTGGTGGGCACCTGTAGTTCCAGCTACTCGGGAGGCTGAGTGACAAGGATCTCTTGAGCCCAGAAGTTTGAGGTTGCTGAGAGCTCAAATGATGACACCATGGCACTCTAGCCTGGGCAACAGAGTGAGACTCTGTTGTAAAAACCAAAAAAAAAAAAGAGAAAGAGATTATAATTATATTTAAACTCGTACTTTAACAAGAAGGCAGAATAGAACTCAGTTGGTGTGATTAAGAGAGCCATGTGCCACAGGTAGAATTTGAGGCAGAATAGAAAGATGAGCAGGGGAACATACCAATAAGCAGCGATAAAGGCGGGGGGACCTGCAAGCAGAGAGAATGGGGAAAGTACAAACACAACATAAGCAAGAATGTACATAACAGATTCCAGGACACTGCAGGCAGCACAGTTTGGCAGAAGCAGGCAGACATACACAAGGACAAAGTGGACAGGACCCTGAGGACTAGGGTGAGGAGGGCCTTTAACGCCCTCAGAGCAGTGTTGACTGAGACCTGTGGAAACTGGCTGTGATCCACTGAAGAAATACAGAGTTAGAAGCAACACTAAAGAAAGATTCGAGACATAGAGTAGAATATAAAGCGGGAGCTCAGGGGTCTATTGCCCATGATGGGATTCCAGCAATGGCCCAGAGTGTTTGCTCCATTCTGATTTTATTGAAGTCTATTTGCCCAGAGGGTAAGATGAGGGAGGGAACAAAGACTTCAGCAGTTTCTCAGATTGATCCTATCAGCTTCTATTGTTACAATTAACCTTAAGGATGGCCTTTAGTAATCTGAAATCTTTGCCTTGTATTGGGAGAGCCTCCTGCTTGAAGTCATACATACAGATTTCTAGGGAGGTGTTAGCTCCACTAGTTCTCTGTGGAGTAAAAGGCCACCAGCGTTAATCTCCTCTGAGGGATGGGTGGGAGGGAGGCATTTTCCTCCCATCACCACCACAGAGGATTTTCCTCTGCAATAAGGGATATAAGCTCTTCTGCTCATATCTCAGAGACCTTGGTCTCTGCCCCAGGCAAATGCCAATCTCCACAGTGGGTATCTGCTCTGCCTGCTTAATGGACAGGAAATGCCCCAGAAGATGTATCTTTTCTGAGGACTTGTCATAGCCTCTTTTATGACCATTATTCTCCTCAGAGTGCTCACGGACCCAGCAGGGTGTTTGTAAGCTGTATCCCCAACAGGCTAGAATTTCAGAAAAGGCGAGAAGCTTGCTAGCAATGGCTGGCTTAAATGTAAACTAGCTGACTTTTCTTTGTTCCAACTCACTTAGCTTACTATTTAGTTTTCCTCTTTTTCTGGGGGTGCTTTCCTTTGCCAGGAATGGAGTCTTCAGTCCCATTCTCCCAGCAGATTTTTACTAAGCAGTGGAGAACCCTGGAAGATATTAAGCAAGGGAATAATATAAGGTGACCAGATGTCCTGCTTTTGGCGGGACGGTCCTGATTTTTAACAATTTGTCCCACGTCTTGTGGTGTTTTAAAAAAGTCCCAATTTTTGGAAAGAATGCACAACAAGCTAGGGAAAGGCAGGACAACGGGAAGGGAATATAGCGGCGGCTGCTGAAAAGGTTAACGTAACTACATTTGGAAATGAAGAGGCTAATGTAAACTCCCTACTCCCCTCCTGGGCAAAGTCACGCAAGTGGACTGGTGCCCTACTCCTTTGAGCCACAGGCTCTGCCCTATACATAATTTTTTTTTAATGTATTATATTTGTAAATTGTACTTATGTTGAAATTAAAAGATATATATATTGCAATACTATTTTTGCATTCTATGAAAATTTTTGTTGCTCCATATAGACCAAATTTTTAATTAAGAATCCCATACCTCCCACCCTCCACCCCCGTCAATGGTGTCCCGCTTTACCAATGTTAAAATCTGGTCACCTTAGAATAACATGACCCAAAGCTGTCCTTCAGCTGTAATAATCTCTTGCTATAAATAAGGACAGAGTTAAGTAGAGAAAGGCTGAAGGTGAAAAAGGCAGTTAGGTCATTATAATAATCACCCAGGTAGGAAATACTTCAGCAGTGGGAATGATGAGTGACTTAGAAAGGAAGAAGCTGCATGTCTTTGCAAGGTTATATTGGGACAAGGTTGCTGGGGGCTGTGACTATCCAGGAGAGGCCCCTGCTCACTCTTTATTACCCTAGTTCCTGTTACCACCTTTGATATTCTAGATGCTTTTAAACAAGCAAATTATTTTAGAAATGTATTTAGTTTGTGAATCCCCTGTGACTGCTGTATCTAATTTAGATTTTACCTTTTCCAATTAAAGACAATCTTTCAGTTAGGATTTACTTTTGCCTTTGAAAGAACTTCCTCATCTTGTGTTTTTCTTTGATAGATCTGGCAGTGTGGTGGCAAGTTATTGTTTGTGCCTTGTTCTCGTGTGGGACACATCTATCGTCTTGAGGGCTGGCAAGGAAATCCTCCACCTGTTTCTGTTGGTTCTTCTCCAACTCTAAAGGTGAGTTTCTTGGTTGAAATAGGGAGAAGGATAGGGAACTAACATTTATGTGCTACATACTATTGTAGTCACTTAATAAATGTTGGATTATTAAATGGGCTATGTCTGATGCTGTTTCTCACCTTCAACTTAAGCTAGACTTGTGTATGAAATGTCTTGTTCTTCTCTTTCTTTCTTTCTTGTTTTTTAGAGACAGGTTCTCATTCTGTTGCCCAGGCTGGAGCGCAGCAGTGGGATCCAGTTCACTATAACCTCAAACTTCTGGGTTCAGCCATCCCCCTGCCTCCACCTCCCGATTACCCGGGACTATAAGTGCCCACCACCACAAACAGCTAGTTTCTTTACCTTTTGTAAATATAGGGTCTCCCAGTGTCACTCAGGTTGATTTCAAGCACCTAGCCTCAAGTGATCCTCCCAGATTGGCCTCCCAAAATGCTTGGATGAGGCCCCATTTTTTAACTTATTTTTTTAATTGAGAAGTAAATATTGTGTAAATATAAGTGTACAGCATGGTGTTTTAATATATGTATACATTGTTGAATGGCTAAATAAGCATTACATACTTATTTTTGGTAGTTAAAAACACTAAAAATCTATACTCTTAACAATCTTCCCATATGTAATTATTGGTAACTGTAGTCACTGTGATGTATAATAGATCTGTTGATTTCATTCTTCCTCTGTAACTAAAATTTCCTGTCCTTTGACTAAAATCTCTCCAATCCTGGCTGTTCCCAGCTTATGGTAACTACCATTTTATTCTCCCACACGTGTGTGAGATCCTGCAGCATTTGTCTTTCTGTGCCTGACTTATTTCACTTAACATAATGTCTCCCAGGTTCGTTCATGTTGTGGGAAATGACAGGATTTCCTTTTGGTTGTGGCTCACAAGTTTTCCAGTGGGTGTGTATATCACATTTTCTCTATCCATTGATGAGATGATGGACACTTAGGCTGATCCCATAGCTTGCCTATTGTGAGTAGTGCTTCAGTAAGTCTGTGAGCTCTTCCATCTGCTGACGTCATCTCTTAGTAGTGAGATGACTAGGTCATTTGGGAGTTCTATTTTTAATTTTTTAAGGACCCTCCATACTATTATCCTTCGCAGCTGCACCATTTTGCCTTCTAACAGTGCACAAAAGTTTCATTTCTCCACATTGCCATCAACGCTATCTTTTATCTTTTAATAGCCATTCTTACATGGTGAGATAATATCTTGTAGTTTTAATTTGCATTTCTCTGATGAATACTTCTGTTGAGCATTTTTTCATGCACCCGTGGGCTAGTTAATATGTTTTGAGGAATATCAATTCAGGTCCTTGGCCAAATCCTTTTTTGTGTTTGTGTGTTTTGAGACAGAGTCTCACTCTGTCACCCTGGTTAGAGTGCTGTGGTGTCACCCCAGCTCATAGCAACCTCAAACTCCTGGGCTCAAGTGATCCTTCTGCCTCAGCCTCCCAAATAGCTGGGACTACAGGCACCCACCACCACCACCACCACCATACCTGGCTAGTTTTTCTATTTTTAGTAGAGATGGAGGTCTTGCTCTTGCTCAGACTGGTCTCAAACTCCAAGCTCAAGGGATCCTCTTGCCTCTGCCTCCCAGAGTGCTGGGATTACAGGTGTAAGCCACCTCACCTGAGCCAATTGTTAAACAGTTTGTATCCTTGCTATTGAGTTGAGTTCTTTAATGTATTTTGGATATTAACCCTTTATCAGATGTATGTTTTGCAGATATATTCTCTACTCCTAGATTGTCTTTTTGTTAAATGTTTCCTTTGCTATGCGGACATTTTTTAGCTTGATACAATTCCTGTTATCTATTTTTTATTTTGTCACCTGTGCTTTTGGAGTCTCAGCCAAAAAAATCTTTGCACAGACCCTATATTTTCTTCTAAAATTTTTATAGTTTCTAGTCTTTTTATTTAAATCTTTGACCCATTTTGAGTTGTTTTCTTGTGTATATGCTGTAAGATGAGAGTCTGATTTCATTCTTTTGCCTGTGGGTATTCAGTTTCCCAGCTTCATTTATTGAAGAGACTGTTTTCTCCCTATTGTGCATTCTTGGCATTCACATTGAAAATTGTCAACGTTTACATTTATTCCTAGGCTCTCTATTTTTTTCCATTGGTCTGTGTGCTGTTTTGATTACTACAGCTTTGGAGTAGATTTTAAAAACCAAGTTATGTGATTGACGCCTCTGGGTTTGTTCTTCTTGCTCAAGATTGCTTTTCTTTTTCACAGAATTATGTTAGAGTTGTGGAGGTTTGGTGGGATGAGTACAAAGATTACTTCTATGCTAGCCGTCCTGAATCGAAGGCATTACCATATGGTGATATATCGGAGCTGAAAAAATTTCGAGAAGATCACAACTGCAAAAGTTTCAAGTGGTTCATGGAAGAAATAGCTTACGACATTCCCTCACACTACCCTTTGCCACCCAAAAATATTGACTGGGGAGAAGTAAGTACCAACCAATACTCAGATCTCAGTGTGTCTGTGTTGTTAGTGCTGTGGTTAGGTAGCTCTACTGAATTTGCTTCCCATTCACATAAATTATTGTGATTCTGAGACTGTATCTTTTTAGTTTTTCTTGGGTGGCATTTTATGGAAATGTATAGGCTGATGCCTGTTGTTGGAACAAGTCTATTCTAATGCTAATTTCAAAGATGACTTAAAACTTCTCAAAAGCATGCTCAAAACTACTTACAGACTGATAATAGCCTGGCATTGTACATCCCCAGATTTCCCCTGTGAACTGCAGTATTTAACAGGAGACTTCTTTTTCTTTAAGATAGAATCTAAGTCAGTCACCCTGGGTAGAGTATGGTGGAATCATAGCTCACAGCAACCTTGAATTTGGAGGCTCAAACAAACCTCCTGCCTCAGCCTCTTGAGTAGCTGGGATTATTGGGCACCAGGCCCAGCTAGTTTTTCTATTTTTCGTAGAGACAGGGTCTCGCTATGCTCAGTCTGATCTCAAACTCCTGAGCTCAAGTGATCCTCCTGCCTTGGCCTCCCATACTACTGGGATTACAGGTGTGAGCCACTGTGCCTGGCCCTTAGCGGGGAAACTTTTATTCTTATGCTAGAGTTTATTGAAAATTCAAACTGTTGCCTGCTTTGTGCTTATTTGCTCGTTTTGTTCTTTTTAATTAAGATCAGAGGCTTTGAAACGGCTTACTGCATTGATAGCATGGGCAAAACAAATGGAGGCTTTGTTGAACTGGGACCCTGCCACAGGATGGGAGGGAATCAGGTAAATCACCTTACTTTTGTATTTAGATTGGTCTTAGCTGGGAGCCATTGGGATTATTCATCACAGGGTTTAGTTTGGTTTTCAAGTTGGTAATTTGGTTTGATAAAACATTCTATGAAAAATTGAATGGATTCACTTAAATAATGGATATAACACATTCATTTAAATAATGGATATAATAGCTGCATTGGTTTTAATATAGCAATCAGAATCTATAATCAATGTCTTCTGATATAAGAAATTAAAATATATTCTAGTGGGAGCCTAGCTCCCTAACAAAAATTTTTCAAATATTGTTCAGTAATACACATCTTTTTCCCACTAAATAGGGTTGTTACTTCCAATAATGTATATTTCACTAATGCATTTTCCTCCTGATGTACTTTTTATGTATGTATGTATGTGTGTGTGTATATATGTATATATTTATTTACTTACTTATTTTGAGACAGTCTCTCACTCGGTCACCCTGGGTAGAGTGCTATGACATCATAGATTACAGCAACCTCAAACTCATGGGCTCAGGCAATCCTCCTGCCTTAGCCTCCCCAGTAGCTGAGACTATGGTGCCCATCACCATGTCCAGCTAGTTTTTCTATTTTTGGTAGAGATAGGGTCTCATTCTTGCTCAGGCTGGTCTGGAATTCCTGAGCTCAAGCAATCTACCCACCTCAGCCTCCCAAAGTGCAAGGATTACAGGTGTGAGTCCCTGTGCCTGGCCATGTATTTTTCTTGTATCTAATTTAGATTGAGAAACATTATCAGGTCAGTTTCCATTTTACATTTTCTCATATCATTGGTACATAAAAATGTGTTTATGACCCATTCTGTATCTTAGAGGCTAAAGAACAAAGTCATTTAATAGAGGTTTTCATTAACATCAAAATAAATAGAATTCCTATCTGTGGATTTGTAGTTCTGAACATACAGAAAAATTAGATAAAGATAAGTCAGTTATCCAGTTTAATTATAGGAGTTAACTAACTTCCTCCATCTCTTCTCTGTTTTTATAGCTTTTCAGAATCAATGAAGCAAATCAGCTCATGCAGTATGACCAGTGTTTGACAAAGGGGCCCGATGGATCAAAAATTATGATTACACATTGTAGTCTGAATGGGTTTAAAGAATGGCAGTACTTCAAGGTATTTCGTTTTTTAATTCCTGAAATAATACATGCTATTTCATTTTCACCAACACCTAGCATGTAGAATTTACATGGATTAATCTTAAAACTTGCATTCAAAGTGACTTGCATTTTCCCCTCATTTAGTCATTTGTATAGGTTTTCCCAAGCACTAGATGACGCTGTCCTATAACAAGCCATTGCTTTTGAGCTGTAGTACAATGTTGCCGTGTAATGAGGCCATACAGATGTCTGTGAACACCCACTGCTCATTTTAGTACCATGGGAAAATTGGTGTTCCCTGAGGCAGTCATCACCATCATTCTTGTATTGAAATCTGATTTTTAACATTTAAATGAGTCATTAATTAAAGTAAAATGCATTCACACTGTGAAGAATATTTGTTTACTATTTCTTGTCATCCAGCAGGTGGAGACAGAGACATACTAATTCAACTCTGAAGACTAGGATTTCTTAATTTCTTTGCCATTTTTGGTTGCTAAATTCAACAGGATAAATGTAGCCAGTAGCTTACATTAATGGTTGAATTCAGTTATTCATTTGCCCATGCTTGGATGTTTTTTCTGTTTTAGCTGTGAGTATTTAAAGCTCTTTGGCAAGTTAAGGATTATAACATACTACGTATTAATTTATGTACAGTTTTCATAGTCTAAATTTGGCTAAAATAAATCAAGTTTTTATGACACAATTAAGTTGGGAAAGTTGCTTCCAATAGAAATAACCTGGCAACTTTCGAAATTATTGACTCATCTAGTTTTGTTTTGTTTTGTTTTGTTTTTTGAGACAGTCTCTGTCACCCTGGGTAGAGTGCTGTGATGTCATCATAGCGCACAGCAACCTCAAATTCCTGGGCTCAAGTGATCTTCTTGCCTCAGTCTCCTGAGTAGCTGGAACTACAGGTGCCTGCCACCACCACACCTGGCTATTTTTTCTAATTTTAGTGGAGATGGGGTCCTGCTCTTGCTCAGGCTGGTCTGGAACTCCTGAACTCAAGGGGTCTTCCTGCCTCAGCCTCCAAGAGTGCTGACATTACAGGTGTGAGCCACCATGCCCAGCCTACTCATCTATTTGTTATGGTGTCTGTCATGCAAGCACTAGTTTGCTGTGAAGTGCTACTATGACCCAGCATAATCTTTCCAGTTTATCATCATTCATGGACAGTTAACTGTGAAGTGGTGAGCATGTATCTATTGCTGATTTTTTTCCTATATAAAGTTAGGAAGGAAAAGATTCATGTAAACCCTAAAGAATATGACATTTTTACAAAGAATAATGAATAATAAGCGATAAATGTAAGGGTCAGTGAGAACAATATTAGTAAATTAGTAAAAGAAGGTTAGCAGACCAGAAACTACCACCAGGAAGTCATGGATAAAAAAACTGAGCATGGGGCACATGCTCGTTATCCCAGCTACTTGGGAGGCTGAGGCAAGAGGATCACTTGAGCCCAGGAGTTTGGAGTTTGAGGTTGCTGTGAGCTATGATAACACCACAGCACTCTACCCAGGGTGACAGAGTGAGACTGTTGTTTTTCTTTTCTTTTTGAGACAGAGTCTCACTTTGTCGCCCTCAGTAGAATGCTGTGATGTCACAGCTCACAGCAACCTCCAGGTCTTGGGTTTAGGCAATTCTCTTGCCTCAGCCTCCTGAGTAACTGGGACTACAGGTGCCCACCACAATGCCCTGCTATTTTTTGTTGCAGTTTGGCCAGTGCCAGGTTCAAACCTGTTACCTTTGGTAGATGAAGCTAGTGCCCTACTCACTGAGCCATAGGTGCTGCGTGAGACTCTTTCAAAAAAAAAAAAAAAAGAATTCTAAGAATCACATTTAGTCTGATATACTTGAATTTGATCCCCAGGAAAGAACACTGAGCTTCATTCTATAAGTTCTGGAGAGTGATCAACATTATTTGAGGAATGTAGTGATTGGAAACAGTAGGTACTTTTAGGAAAATAATTCTAAAGACACATGAGATATAGATTGATGAAGCCAGATTGGCTTGAGCAGTGGTTTTCAAACTTTCTGGCCTCTTCTGGCCTCTGGCCCTTTATACTCTTAAAAATTAATGAAACTCATCCAGATAGCTTTTTTATTTTAATATAGGTTATCATTAACAATATTTCCAGAACTAGAAATCAAATCTGAGAAATTTGTTAAGTTTTTGTTATTTAAAAATAATAAGAACCCTGCTGCATGTTAATCGAAATAACATTTTTAATGAGAAGTATCTTCTCATGAAAATAGTGAGAATTGGCATTAGTCTTTATTTTTGCAAATCCCTTAAATACCTAAATCCTCACACCACTGCTGCATTCAATCTGATGCAGTATGTTCTTTTAGTTGATATGTGTGAGGAAAATCCAGGTTCACACAGATGGTAGTGGGAAAAGAAAGGGGTAATTAAATAGCTTTGTTAGATAATTATGGCAATTCTTTGATTCAACACCATCCCTCAGTAAAATGATAGCAAGGTAAAACAGTGTCCTCAAGATAGCATTTTACTTCATTACTAGGTACTTTCTACTTTGCATTTTATCTCCTAGGATATTTTTAAAAGTATACTCAAAAGTCAAGATTTAATAAAATTTAAAAGTTTTGCTTCTTCAAGGGCACTCTAAGTGAAACCAACATTTACTTTACTTTTTTTTTTTTTTTGAGATAGAATCTTACTTTGTCACCCTCAGTAGAGTTCTGTGGCATCATAGCTCACAGCAACCTCAAACTCCTGGGCTCAAGCAATTCTCTTGCCTCAGCCTCCCAAGTAGCTGGGATTACAGGTGCCCACCACAGCCCCTGGCTATTTATAGAGAGGAGGTCTTGCTCTGGCTCAGACAATCCACCTGCCTCAGCCTTCCAGACTGCTAGGATTACAGGCGTGAGCCACTGGTGCCCAGCCCAGGGCAGCATTTACATTTTAAACTGTGGGTGGTGGTAAAGAATCTAATTACAGGAACTAGCAGAGTTTGGTGTCACTGCTCGACTCATGCAGTTTTTTTCCTCACCATCACTTTTGTACCATCAGTATAAATGTCAATATATGGAAAAGGGCAAATGGGGTCTTTGTATTATTATGAAAATAGTTTTGGCCTTACAGACCCCGTCTTGGATAGTCCGAGGACCACACTTTGAGAAGCCCTGGATTCTATTGAAGAAACTTATGAGGTGTAATGCTAGCTGACCTAGGTCATCTGCAGGGGGCATGAGGGGAGATGTAAGCTGAAGAGACTGCAAGATTCATTCCTTAGTGGCTAGTGCAACACAAATGAATGAGGATTTTCTGGGGACTGAAAAACTGGTGTTATCATTAGCCAAGATGGAAACTAGAGAAGTGTGTTTGGAGGGGAAGGTAATGAATTTAGGTTTGTGTGCATTGAACTTGAGTTACCAGCAGTATACTATGGCTTAAGAAAGGACCTGGTGCAGTGGCTCACAACCGTAATCCCAACACTGTGGGAGCCTGAGACAGGTGGATTGCCTGAGCTCAGGAATTGGAGACCAGTGTGAGCAAGAGTAAGACCCCATCTCTACTAAAAATAAAAGAACTACCCAGGTGTGGTGGCGGGTTCCTGTAATCCCAGCTACTTGGGAGGCTGAAGCAAGAGGAATTGCTGGAACCCATGAGTCTGAGGTTGCTGTGAGCTACGATGATGCCACAGCAGTATACCCAAGGTGACAGAGTGACAGAGTGACAGTGTCTCCAAAAAAAAAAAGGAAAAGAGAAAAAGAAAAGCACTTTAGGAGACTGACAATCAGAAGAGCAGAAACTGCAGTCTGGTCGGTACAAACTTGTTCATTTGCTTGAACTGGCTTCTTTTCAAAGTCAGGTAATGACATCTAATGTCAGTGACATAAAGTTTAAGAGTCTAAATTTTAAAACTTCCTTTCCCTTACCTCTGTTTTCCCAGAATCTGTACAGGTTTACCCACATTCCTTCAGGAAAGTGTTTAGATCGCTCAGAGGTCCTGCATCAGGTGTTCATCTCTAATTGTGACTCCAGTAAAACAACTCAGAAGTGGGAAATGAATAACATTCACAGCGTTTAAGAATAGAAGAAACCAATAACCTACCTACTGACAAGATTTACACAGGACCGAAAATCTCCTGAAACCTGCTGCACCTGTTATTAACTCCACACAGCTCCACACGCGGAACCTCGATAGGTCTGCAGGACATTGATAAACTGTGATTTTTACAATAACATTATCATCCGCAGTTCCTGTTTACAAAACTGCTTTTACCTTAAACTTCGTAGATGTTTACATCTTTTTTGTTTTGTTTTTTGACGATGTTGGTTATTTGTGCCTTTAGCTCTGTTTTGTTAGGATAGAGTTAAAAGCACATTGTCTTCTTTGGGATTACACTCAGGGGTCTGAAAGGCAGTTTGATTTTTTTTTAAACACACTTGAAAAAAAGGTTGGGGTGACCAGACTTTCACATATGACTTGGTGATTATCAACCTGTTGTGTCTTTATTTTGTCTTAACATCTTTTTGAAGCACTGCCACAGGTTTTGAGCCAAGGTGGCCTTCCTTCACAGTCATGCTGCTTTTTTGAAAGGTGAATTTCAACACATTTAGTGCCTCTTTCATTTCTCAGTATGTATTTCAAGAGCTATTGATGAAATTTATAGGATGGTAATGCTGGAATTGTCACTTGTATGGGGAATACTTTTACTGCTCAGAAATGAATTAATTTAGTGCTGCCCTTTGCTATATGAAACTGAATGTTATTTAAAGAAGAAATGATACTATGGAACATCCCAAGGCTATTCCATAGGGTTTGAAGTTGTGGGGCATTAGGCATTCCCAGCATCCTCTAGGGTTCCATACCAACACCTAGGATTGCAAAGGAGTCTTCCAACTAGAGAAAAATTGTCCACTGACATTTGGGATTTACTTTTCATCAGTACCTGTCACTATAGAAAACTACAAATAATTTTCAATTTTGACACTTTAAAAGGGGGAGTAACATAAACAAGGAACACCACCATAAACATGTCAAAGTTTCATTCTGACTGAAGAATTTCCAAGCACTTGTTAGATAAAGCCTTATGAAATTCCTGTGCATTATAACCTAAGCTGTGCAACGTATAAGCCAAGAGTGAAATGATGTTTCATTTTTATCTTCATCCAAGTGAAATTCCCCGCATGTTTTTAAACTTTAAAAAGAGGCTATTTAAGAATACAGTTCATTAACAAATGTGAAATGCTTAATGTTAGATTGGGTGTTAGTTCCTTAGCATTTTCTTCATTTCTTTTCAAGAAACATATTTTTATTAGTACTTTTCCGGTGAAAAGATTTGGATTTAAACATTTATCAAGACAGGAGAACCATACCTACTATAGGAAAACCATATACTGCAAATGACCAATTCAATTTTAATTTCTATATAATTTATTATCAACTCAAAAACTAAAATCCCTAAATCGAGTGCTTAATACAACAATGTGATGAGGTGGGGAATGGCAAGTAAATTAAGCATTTTTGATCCTGCAATCATGATGTCATTACAATGAAAGGAATTCACAAACGACTGCCAGAGAGAAATCTATTTTTTTTAATGTAAGGGAAATCTTTATAATTAAATCTTAAAAAGAAAAAAAACCTACATTTGTTTAAAAGCCTACAAATTTGTTTGTTTCAAGTTTAGCTCTTAAATTTACAAGTCAAAGTTAAAACATCCTCAACAGAAATTTTATTTATAATTTTGAATTGTCAGTTTGTATTTTGCTACTGATCTGTGATCAACCATTTTAAACTTTCATCTCAAAGGATGTTTAAAAGGAATATTTATATGCTTATATAATTGCAAAATAAATCAACTATAAAAAAGAAACTGAAAACTGATACTTGTGTTTGCAAATAGGCTCCATTTTACATGTTGAATAGATTATAACCTTGTTAACTATGCATAGGCCTAAGGTGGCAATGAACTGTGCATGTATATTTTAAATGGGTATTTTGTGCAATTCATTGAAAGATACGCTATGATTCTATATATTGAAATCAGAAACCTTACCAAACAAAAAAACATCAGAAGCTGCTGCCATAATGACTATTTTCTACCATAGGCTGCTTTGGAAGTAATTCCCATATCCTTGCTTTGTAAGTTGATAATATCACTATGCATTTCTACACATTTTATACATTTGATTTATGCAGATTTTGATACACTGTATGTTTCTGTAGAAATTGTATAAATATTCAGAATTTTATTAGGGTAAATTTGAGAAGCTTATGTATATCTTAATTCTGGGTTGCTTGTTTTTTAGGTGAGAAAAAATAAAATATTGTATTTTAATCCGTGGGTTTTTTGTCATTACTTGGAATTATTTCTAAATCTAAATGCTGCACATTTGATAAGAATTAGTGGATTTTTTTATGATACACTTAATAGCTAAAATATTATAAACCATAGTTGATATGTATGTGTTTGACCATTTGCTTAGAATGCTCAGATCTTACCTATCTGTAAGAAGGAAACAAATTTTATTTTTTTTACCCATTTGCCTATGTATAGCAATTTTTTTAAAAGGTCAGATTATTATGGGGGTACATATGATTTGGTTACAGTTTGATTTTGTAAGGTGAGTTATAGGTGTGTCCCTCACCCAGGAAGTGTAACATACCCACTGGATGGGAATTTACCACCCCCACCCCAACTTCACTGTGCACATCCAGTCCTTTTCCCTGTCTAGTCGCTATCGGTCTTTGCATTTCTAACCTCAATAAATATCCTGACAATTATTAACAGGACAAAAATTCTCATGAAGAATCTCATGAATCCCAAAACGGCTCATATCTAAGAAGGTACAAAGTTCTCTTTTTAAAGGACTAGATCTCACACAGTGGCAAAACAGCCCCTTTAGTCACCTTGCTATTCTCTAAGAAATAAAATCACTACTCCCTTATAAAACATTTTTAGTGGTATATAAAGTAATTCAAAATCAGGCTTAAGATAATGTTGTATTTGTACTATTCTCAGACAGCATATGATTTACCATTTAAAGGAACTGATGCTATGAAAGGCAACTTACTCACCAAGAAGCATACTGTCATCTACTGGCCAAGTTCGCATTGAGTGCTTTGCTACCTAAAGGACCTTAGCAAAAGTAGTGGACTCATACTAGAAAAGAAGTTTGAGTCTTTCTTAGTCTTTGCTTCAAAATAAATTGCAGGAGAAATATTTAATTAAAATATTTAAAAAAGAAAAAAGAATTATTTTTATGTTCCTTGAGATTTATAATCTTTGAGTGAGAAAGACCTCCTAAAAATCAGTGAAACAGTGAAAAATAAGTGAAAGAACTGATAAGTTTGCCTATATAAAAATAAGAAAATCTCTGCATGAAAAAAGCATCATGAAGTGAAAAAAATGACAGAGAAAAATATTTACAATACATGTCACAAAGGGTCATTTTCCTTAATATACATGAACTATTCATAAAAAGAAAACAGAAAAGAACACAAATGGCTCTTGAACATGAAAAACTATACTCGTAATAGAAAAAAGAATTTTTATATATATCAGAATTAACATTATGTTAACATAATATGTTGCTAAGATGAAGAAACAGGAACTACAAATATTCACTGCTGTGGAGCATATATTAGTCTAGCTTCTATTGAGAGCAATTTTAGCAAACAAGTTTCTGGCAAACAAGTCAACTTTTAGATTGTGACTAGCAAATTTTTAAGTGCCTTTTGGCCCAGCTACTCTACTTACAGGACTTTTTTCCTATGTATAAAATCGCATACAGGTATTCACAGCGACATTGTTCTCTAACACAATTATCCTTAGGGAACTGGTTAAATTATCATCTATTCAATGGGATATTATGAAGATAACCATGACAGCTGTTGTACTGAGAATACCCAAAATGAGATAGAGGGAGAAAAGTATACTTGTGTATAGTAAGCTTCCATGTGTATAACTATACACATATTTATGCTTCTATCTTTCTTGAAGAATAAATTATTTCATTATTGAGGTTACCTCCTAAGAGAACAAGGTATCTAGCAATCAAAGAAAAATATAAACTATCCACTACATATTCTTTAAAAAGGTTTTCATAAACGTACCTCCAAATAGTGGTTGTTCTGGTAGAGGACTGAATTCTTACCTTTACTTCAGATTTTCTGACACATTCATTCCTTGAAGCCACCTGGTCTTAATTATTGAGAATTTCTTCTAGTCTTTCAGAGATTTGGAATTTTGATTCATACTTATTATCAAACATGAACCAAGCAGGACGCACCTTGAATTCTTAAGGTTATTCTGGAGCAGCTCTTGATTAAAAACCAAGAATGAGTGGTTCTTAGGTTAGATACTTAAGATACTGAGAATACAATGAAAGAAATCACTCTCCCCCCAAAAAAGGTGAGAAGGAACCCTATAGGTCTGCCTCTTGTGTCTAATTTATGTATTTATTTTTTGATTTATGTATTTAGAAATTCTTAAGGAAATAGACTATTAGTCTATTTCAATTTTAGAAACTCTTAATATCTCTTTCTGGGCACTGGGTACCATTTTAAAACATCTTTTAATATTTTTATCATTAAGACACTGTAAGACGTTCTGGGTCAGCTGTCGTCAGCACTTGAGACTCTTAACCATGAAGTATAGACCCCAGCTCAGAGGTAAAGTTCATACTGCTAGCAGTTGGTAGAGCTAGGGCCCTGGGACCTAGACCTAGGTATGTTTCTAAAACATCTTACCCAAAATGTAGAGTATTAAGTCACCTAATACCAGAAAACACTGAAAATTTGTTTTCATTTTGTGATCACTGAAAGCCCCAAATTTGAATGTAGAGATTTATTTTTTATACAGGCAAACTTAGCAACTGTTTTGTGACTTTGGGAAGCCTCTCCCACTCAGTTTGGATTACATTACGAGGGCAATCAAAGATGTTGAAAATTTTGAGTTCATTTGCTCTGGTAATTATGCTAATACTGCAATTCTATTTAACAAAATTTTGGTATTTACCATTTAATAAAATAACTCTTACCAAATATATACTCTAAATATGATGTAAAAAGACAACCAAAGCTTCCACAGTTTGGGTAAGACTGACTTAAAACCTGCTATGTAATCAAGATTGTCAACTACAAGTATAAAATTCTCAACAAATAGGTTTCTTCTGTAAGAAATTAGCCAACAGATTATCAACTTTCACTGATAACCCAATTCTAATAGTTTTAGCAATTTCTTCAACAAGCATTCCTAATAATTGCCTTCCCCTGTAAATACAAACCCTAGTCAAATTCAATTAAATTAGTCATGGGATATCATAACTATCTCACATGCTAAGTAGTAAACTTAATTTCAGAGCGTATGACCAAATTGACTTTTAAAAGATGTACAGGAGTCCTCCCTTACTGTAGTTTCACTTTCAGTGGTTTGTTACCCACAGTACAGTAAAATATTTTCAGACCACTTTCAGCATTACAGTATATTGCTATAACTGTTCCATTTTATTAGTGTTAGTCTCTTACTGTGCTTAATTTTAACTTTATCATTGGTAGGCACATATAAGAGAAAAACAGTATATGTAGTTTAGTACAATGGGCAGTTTCAGAAATCTACTTGGGGCTCTTATAACCCATAGACAAGGGATGTAACTAAAAAAAATCTACTCTGGTATTCCAGAGTAACTAGTTCAACTTAACAGAAAATTTAGACTTGTTACTGATTCTTCCTTAAAGTTTATGTGCTTTTAGGTAAAATAGAAATTTCCCCAAAAATTAAAGTATTAAGTTAAATACCAAAAACCTGAGGAATAAGTTAGCTAATAAATGAACAGAAATGTCAAGAACAAAACTTAAAATCATTTTGTAAAACTGCAGAAATCAATTTTTAAAGTTCACTGAATTCCAGATCTTTTTTAATGAATGCTTTAGAATACGTGCATGTTTGGTTTTATTTTAAACCTCAACACATTTTTAAAAATCAACTGTGTTTAAGAACTATTAGGCAGAAATACAAAAAAGTTCACACAGCTCCAATCTTGTTTTTTAAAAGTGAAAGTTAATTTTGCATATTAAGACAAAGACAATAGAAATAATATACATACTTTTATTACAAAATCTTTTTAAAAAAACAAAATGCAAGATCCTAAAAAACCCAAAACTTAATATGTAAACTAATTCCTACAAGTTTGCTGTGCTACCATACACAAGTCAAGAAATTAAACCATTAAATATTTAGGAACATTCAACATCAGAAGCTTTAAAATCTAACTGTATGTAGTAGCCCCTCAAAAAGCTACAACCTGCATTTTTTTAAAGTATTTTCTCTACAAAGAATCTTATCAGCTATACAAAAATCTGTACAGTTCTTATACTGAGCTAATATTGAGCTGCACTTGAATTCACATTCTTAGCAAAACAATTGCCTGAGCATACACACATACTCCACGCGCATCATTACAGGATAGCCATTTATTCTTCATCTTCCTCCTCTTCCTCCTCATCTTCATCATCTTCTTCCTCCTCTTCCTCCTCATCTTCAGGTTCATTCTTCTTCTTTGAACCTGTTGGCCTGCCAGGGCCTTTCTTCCCTGCTTCACTTTTGCCCTTGGCACGGTATGCAGCAATATCCTGAAATATTGTCAAAAAAATAAAACTGGCATCCGGTGTTGTTGCTCAACTGTGAAAACACTTTGTTCTAAACAACCTAAGATTATTGACCAATAACCCTAACAACTGTCTGAAAAGAATTTCAGTTTTAACAGCATTTTTATTTCTGCTAGGCTTTAAAAGTCTTATGATATAAAATTACATGGGCTACACAGATCATTATCAGTACTCTCACTACCCACACCCCTTTACCTCATATATACTCAGTCCCTCCTTTATGTTAGATCCATCTACATGATATATTTGGTGTTCCTTTTTTTTAAACTAACAGGTTTATGTACAGTAACTACAAATAAGCCTAAATGCAAGACTCTACCAGTGCTACAAACACTGGTTTCAGGCAAAAGAAGTTTTCCTTACCCTATGTTACTTAAGTGGACAATTTTTGTTTTTGTTTATTGAGTCAGAGTCTCACTGTCAGCCTGAGTGCAGTGAAGTCTAAGATTTTCATTAGTCCCTTTCACAACACAACTGACAACCATTAACATGAAATTAACTACAGTTCCCACCTTTCTCCAGTTCACACCTATTTTTAACATGCTTTAGAAAATACCCACTGAATTTTAACTTCAGCTTTAAAAAAGGTAAAGAGACAAGGTACCTTTTCATATTTCTCCTTTAGCTTTGCTGCTTTCTGTTCGTATGGCTGTTTATCTTTGGCTGACTGCTCAGACCACATTTCACCCAATTTTTTTGCAGTATCCCCAATGGACAGGCCCGGGTGTTCACTTTTGATCTTTGGGCGATGTTCTGAACAAAACAGGAAAAAGGCAGACCTGGAAGAAAAAAGAAAAAGTTAATAAACTGAAAAGAAAAAAAAAGTCCAAGGAGCAATTTGGTTGAATTAAAAAAAAAAAAAAAAAACAACCAAAAAACTCCCAACTCACGGGGGCCTTTTAGGAGCATTGGGATCTTTTTTCTTTCCTTTCTTGTCGCCTTTGGGAGGAACGTAGTTCTTCATCTCCCTGTCATAGCGAGCTTTATCATTTTTGGCCATATCTTCAAACTTGGACTTTTCCTTTGCAGACATGGTCTAGGGGCATAAAAAGCAAGCGGTGAGTCGCGTGCCCAGCCGACACCAAGAGCGTCTCCAAGGAGCGACGTCCCCAGCGAGCAGACAGCTGGGTCGCCGGGGACACCTGCGAGAGGGGTGCAGCGGCCGCGCCCGACTGGAGGCGGCCTCGCAGCGCCCCAGCGCCCACCTTCCACCGCTCCGAGCACTTCTTGGAGAACTCGGCGAAGTTGACGGAGGAGTCCGGGTGCTTCTTCTTGTGCTCTTCGCGGCACGTCTGCACGAAGAAGGCGTACGACGACATCTTGCCCCGCGGCTTGTTGGGGTCTCCTTTGCCCATGGCGGCGGCGCCGCGTCCACCTGCGGGGAGCGCCGGGAGTCGGCTGCGGGCGGGGCGCCGCTTCCCGCCCAAACCCGCCCCGCCTGCCCTGCCCCCACCCCGCGCGCGCACCCCCGCGGGCCGGGGGCCGCCGTCTGTCAGAAACGCGCGCGAGCCCATCCCCCGCTCGACCTCGCGCCTGACATTCAAAAAAGGTCCGGGAACCGCACCCGGCCCAGCTTCCCGCCTCTTCTGCCCGCACCCCGCCGCACCCTGGACGCCGGACCCGGGACGCGGCCTGAGGGGAAACGCGACCCTTCCCCACCCCCACCCCACCGCCCAGCAGACCCGCGGAAGACTCCAGGCCGTCGCAGGGGACGCTTGCCTGCTGCGAGCTTTTCCCTCAGAGTCCCCGCAACGGCGGCCGGATCCGCCCGCGACGCTACCTCCCCGGAGCTCTGGCGTGAAGTGGCTTCTCCCCGGCGCAATCCTCAGCCTCTTGTTTTGCAGACTTCTCCGCGCCACGGCAACTTGACGGGCCCCGGCGCAGGCCACACCCCCTGGCGCACTCTGATTGGTTCGCAGCAGTGATTCAAATACGCACAGTCTCCGCCCCGCTCGCCATGCCGGCTTCCGATTGGTTGGGGTCTTGTTTGGCCCGGCCTACTCCCACCCGCAGCCGCAGCCTAGCAGGTTCGGTGGGCCGCCCAGGTCGTTAACTCCCCAGACCCGTTAGAACCGGTCAGGAGAGGAATGTGCCGCTTGCTCCTGATTGGCGGCCGGAAAAGGGTTTGAAAAATGGCGGGCCTCACGCTGACTGGCTACGGCCCAGGCCGGTGGGTGTGGTCGGCTCGAGGAGGGAAGTCCCGCCACATTTGAAAATACAAAGTTGAGACTCTCGTGGGGAAGTTCTTCGGGGTTCGGCAACCAGGTGGTCAGGCTTGCTGGCTGTAAGATGACAGAGAAGACCCGGCCGAACATTCCTTCGCCCCTCCGCGGGCCTTGCCTGTCCTCCGCCGCAGCCGGGTCCGGCTGAGTGGGCTCCTGGGAGCTGTAGTCGCTCCGCCCCGAGCGTCCCTGGTACAACCCCAAGAATTAGAAACGCGGGCGACTGCGGACGTTTCCCTGCCCGCTGATGGCTCCTGTTGTCGCCGAAGCTGGCGTAGAAGAACCTGGGGAAGACAAAGCCGGGGACCTCAAGCGGGGGGAATGGAGACAGCGGTTCCCGCGTCCCGGGGTTGTCAGGAAAGGCCCTGAAAGCCCGGAGCTTCCCGCCCGGGGACCTCCCCTCTCTCTCTCCCCGCTTCCCCCTCTGTCTTGGGTGTCAAATGCCGGCGGGCGGGGGACAAACACCAGCGGCCCGGGCCTCGCCCCAGCCCTGAGCGCTGCCTGGGGACTTGGAGCCCTGGCCTGGTAACTCACCGGCCGGTCCCACTTTCACAAATGGAGTATCCCGGGAAAGCAGGGGACGTCCCCAGTTGCATAAGGTTCGCCATGTTTTACAGCCCACGGGTTTTAAAATCTAGTGACAACGCACCAAAACTGCCTTCCCTTACCGCTCCCTAGCCTCACGTGTTCTTTTCCCAAGGTAGGAGGACTTTAACTGACATGTCGGTCTGCTATTTCTGTGTCGTAGATCGTTTTCAGCGGGGTTTCCCACCTTTTGCACTGACTTAAGATTTCTTAAGTATTCTGTCTTAACTTTTCAGTTAAGTTCACTGGCATTCGTTACACTCTGCAACTATTTGGTGTGTATATAGGAATCATACTCAGTAATACTTAAGAACTAGCAGTTATCTATCTAGACTAATAAGATTTTTAAAACATGTTTTCCTTAGAAATGAGTGGCACTTGCTTCCCATTGCGAATATACTTTGTGCCAGTGAATTGTACACTTCAGGATGGTACCTTGTATGTTTTACCACAATAAAATAAAAAATACAGTGACAGTTTTTCCAAAAAAATGTGTATTTTCTTGAATTTAAGAAAATTACAGAATTTTATTAATCATAATCTTAGGTTTATTACATTCTTCTGTGTGCCTGAATCTTCTATATACCTAAAAAATCACAGTTACAAGTACATTATAAAAGCACGCAAAAATCCAAATTAACAAAATAAATCATACTACTTTATTAAATAGTAATAAACAGATCACTAATGCATTTTCAAATTTTATATTTCTCAAATATTTTTTAAAAACAACTGTGCCATAAATTGTGCTTAAATAAACATTGGGCATTGGAGAGTTGTTCACAGATTATGCCAAGAATTTAGTTTAGCAATAGAAACACAAAGATGCAAAGTCATGGTCTATGCCCTCACAAAATTTATGGTGTAGAGGGAGACAAATAGCGGATAACAGTACACATAATAATTAAAATTTGTCAAAAGGGGGAACGGAAGTAGGGAAAACCTTCTGTGAAAGTAGTAGCATTTGAATAGAGTTGGAATGGAGAAGTTAGAGCAGAAGAGATAAAAACCAAAACAAAATAGGTCTTGGAGTGATAACTTGTTTAGGGATCAACTAGTAATTCAGTAGTATAGCTTAAGGATGATGGTGCTGGACTGGCAGCTTACAAAGGCATTTAGTTTTTATCCTATAACCAAACGAACCACAAGGGTTGAGTGAACTAAGTAGATTTCCCTGTTAGACCAGGCAGTGTCTATGCTAGGGTACAAATGAGGTCAAGTTTGTAAGTTAGAAATCAATTCACCCTCTTCTTTCCCTTCTATGATGCAAAGTTGCAGTCAGAGGGAGACTGGTTACAGATATATGAGAGTTGCTTATTTACATGCATAATCTCACTAGAAGTTTAATTTTTAATTCACTAAAGTTTTACTTCACTTGAGGAATTTTGCAATGTTTATATAATTAAATGGTTTCACAACCTGCTACTATAATGCAAATAGTGGATTTGTTCATAATCAGAGCTACTAACTTACATTATATCCTAACATTTCTATTTCCTAAAAATCATGGCTCTCCTTTCTAGTCTATCACTTGCAGTAAGAATTGATTGGATTGGGGGTGCTATTTTTCAGAAGACTTCCCAGTTGTTGATGCCTGGGAGAGGCAAAGGACCATAAGCAAGCTATGAGTAAATTGCTAGGCTCACTTAAGGGTTATGGGTTGAATTATGTCCCCTGACCCCAACTTCATACACATATGAGCACCTAACTCCCACCCACTACCTCAGAAGATGATTTTATTTGGGAATACATTTGCAGATATAGTTAAGATGAGCTCATACCAGAGTAGAGTGGGTCTCTTATTTGACTGAGTGTCCTTATAAAAAGGGGAAATTTGGGCATAGAGATAAGCCTAGAGATAAAATGACATGAAAACAGAAAGAAGATGGCCATCTACAAGCCAAGGAGAGTGACCTAGATCTTTATTGTACCTTCCTTCAGAAGGAACCAACCTGCTGATTCCAGTTTCCATTTTATCTGTCACTACAGAGAAAAGGAAAACATTTCTGTAATCTACTTTTTCCATCACTGCCAAGACTTCACTCTAATACCAAACTTCCTTACTTAGAAGTAAACATAATACAGTGATAAATTAAGTTTAGCTGAGATCTATATCCTTGGTTACAGAACCTTACTGTTTCTGAAAAACATATACAGAATCAAGTGGCACTGAAAAAAACTAGCCATAAATGTACTTATGAAATGAATTAAATACACAAAAATTAGGCCTGATTCACTACTCTGTGAATTACTTAGTATACTATTATGACTTTATCAGAAAACTAAAATGTAATAAAGTCTTTCTCATTGTATTTCAAATCTTGTACTCCTAAATGAGAAAATACAATTGTATTTCTAAAACAGATTTAAAGCTGATTTTTTAAAAATGTTTTGATTTCATATCTTCTAAAAATAATTCCACAAACTTATTTCTATTAAAATGCATCTTTCTAAATAAATGATATACTGGAAAATGTTTATGTTCTTCATCATAAAAATGTACAAATAAAAAGCCAGCAAGAGCTTCTGGTTTTGAACAGCTTACTAAGCATTTCTAGGCCTTTGCTTAACAAACTGTACATTGACGTTTGGGTGATAATCTCTAAGGTATCTTATATGATCAATAAATTTGTGACTATGATCACAGTAGGAAAATAACCAGGTGTGGTGCCTCAGGTGTGGGATCCTACCACTCTGGGAGGCCGAGGCAGAAGAATCCCTTGAAGTCAGGAGTTGAAGATCAGCCTGAACCAGAGTGCGACCGGGTCTCTACCAAAAATAGAAAAACCAGTCAGGCTGTTGGTGGGTCCTGCTACTCAGGAGGTTGAGGCAAGCCCAGGAATTTGAGGTTGCTGTGAGCTATGATGCCCCAGCACTCTACCCAGGGCAACAGGGAGATCTCAAAAAAAAAAAAAAAAAAAAACAGCGTAAGGATATAAGTATTATAACTTATGCAGTGCATTCAGGAGATTATAACTAAATCAAAAGGAAGTAACCCAGGACCAAGTGAGGTGATTTATGCGTATAATGCCAGCATTGTGAGAAGCCCAGACAAGAAGATCTCTTGGGACCAGGAGTTGAGATCAGCCTCAGCAAGAGGAAGTAAGACCTTGTCTCTACTAAAAATAGAAAAACTAGCCCGGTGTGATGATGGGTGCCTGTAGTCCCAGCTACTTCTGAGGCTGAGGCAGGAGGATCACTTGCCCAAGAGTTAGTGGTTGCTGTGCGCAAGGCTAATAGCATGGCCCTCTTGCCTGGGCGACAGACTAAGACCGTGTCTCAAAAACAAAAAAATTACCAGAAATATATTAAAAATGTGTTTTTGTTCAAACGGCGAGAGTGTGACTGCGAATCTTAAGCCCAGCAAAGGTGCAGCTTAAGTATTAGTCACGCCCACCCCGCTCTGACCAGTCCCGCAGGAACACACGCGCCTACGCGCGCACTTACACGTACACACGCGTGTGCACACGCACACACATGCACATACGCGTACACACGCGCCTGCCACTCAGGCGACGCGCGCCGGGGAGTCCCCGGAGCCGCCCCCTCCGTGGCCGCCACTGACGATGACGAGCGGCCCTGCTACTCTGGGACCTCCGTCAGCGGTCAGGCCGCGACGTGACGTTCGCCGCGAAACGCTCGGGGCAGAGGAGCGCGGATCTGCTCACCACCCCCTTCGCCGGCCGTTCACGCCCCAAGCGGTCTTTGCACAGGTGCGAAACGCCGAGAACTTTGTCCCCACAGGGTCAGGGACCGCCCGCCCCACTCCAAGCTCAGCCCCCAGATCGGAGAACTTCGGACACCGACTCCGCGGAAGCCCAAAAGCTACGCACAGAACAGCGTCCAGAAGAGACGAAAAGAGGAAACACCGCGAATCCCAACCACAAGCTCTTGTTTTCCTGGTATTCAAGGCGGGGAGAGGGGAGGATGAGCCGGCCTCCGCGCTGTGCATGCTGGGACGAGTAGTTCCTTCCCTGCGCCGCGGGGGGGAAAGCTCGAGCTGAGTGTGCAGCGGAGAACTACAAGTTCCGTGGTACCTCGCGGCAGAAGGAGAGGGGCGGGGCGGGAGGGGGCGCGCCGCGCTTGCGCAAGTCCTGGGGCCCGAGGGAGGCGGTGGCGCCGCGGTCCAACTGCTGAAGTCTCCATGTGACAGAGCGCTGTTCCCCTTTCCAGGCGCAGGTCGGCTCTGCGTCCCGGCTGCTAGCTCTGGACGCCGCTTCCGCAACAAGGGGCGCCTGAGGGGTTCGGCAGGGGCGGGCGGCACGGCGAGCGGGGTCATGAACGGCTTCCCGCCGGAGGAGATGAGCCGCGGCGGGGACGCGGCCGCCGCTGTAGCCGCCGTGGTCGCCGCCGCTGCTGCCGCAGCTGCCGCCTCCACCTCAGCCGGGAACGGGAGCGGCGCGGGCTCCGGGGCCGAGGTGCCCGGCGCCGGCGCGGTGCCGGCATCGGGGCCCCCGGGGGCGGCTGGGCCGGGCCCGGGACAGCTGTGCTGTCTGCGAGAGGACGGTGAGCGCTGCGGCCGTGCAGCGGGCAACGCCAGCTTCAGCAAGAGGATCCAGAAGAGCATCTCCCAGAAGAAGGTGAAGATCGAACTGGACAAGAGTGTAAGTGACGGAGGGGTTGTAGCTAGCGAGGTCCTGCCGAGCTGCTGCGGGCGCCGGGTTACAGGCGAGACTCCCTGGCGGGGTCCTTCTGAGCTGGCTGCTGGGGGGACGCAAACAACAAAGTCGCTGCAACTCCGCCTGCTACTGCGCGCACATGCACACACGCACACGCACACTCGCGTAGCTGTCCACTCCTCCTCCGCCCCTTTCACTCGCAACCCCTGGCTGCCGCGTCCTTCCCGCACGCTGTTCTCTCCTCTTCCTCCTCTGCGTTGATCTGGAAACCAAACAAAGGCGATTCCCGCACGGCGGGCCCACAGGAGTTTTCTTGCAGTCCCGCAGCCTCTTTCTGGCGTGGAGGCGCCTTTGTTTTGCAGCCCAAGCTGGCATTTGGCCCCAAGGAGGAGGAGTAGCTCCCTGGGTCTGGGGACAGAGTAGAACCTTCTACCGCAGCCGAAGAAGATCCTATTTTTTTTCCCCTGTGTTGCATATCGTCCGGGACGGTCAACCGCCTCCTTGCAAGGAGCAGGGATTGGCAGCTCCCAGTACAGCCACCCCGAAGAGGGAGCGCACAACCTCTGCGGTTTTGCCATCTGCTTGGCAGCCATCAGGATTTCCTTTTCTGTCCTTTGAACGTCTGCTCTTTTGACCATCTTATGAGGTTTTCAGAAACAACCATTGCTACTTTTCGGAGATCTGGCTAGCGGTCAGTGAATAATAAGATACCAGAGCCTAGCACCAGTCCTGCATATTTTTTAACTCGCTCTTAAGCTTAGAAATAAGTAAAAGCCTGTTAGCTCACTCGTGTGTGTGTGTGTGTGTGTGTGTGTGTGTGTGGAGTTAACTGTCACTCTACTAAACCCAGTATTTCTAGTGTTACTATACTTACACTCTAGGCAGCGGTTCTCAACCTGTGGGTCGCAACCCACAGGAACTGTATTAAAGGGCCCCGGCATTAGGAAGGTTGAGAACCACTGACTAGAGTGTAAGTCATCAAAGTTTTTGAAAACTTGTGACACTTTCCACCCATTTAAACAGTTCTTCAGCGGTGTTTGAGGAAAATTTTTCAGGGAATGCATAATTTCATATTGCTTGGAATGCAAAATTTATGACAGAAGAACACATCCATATAATACACAGAAAAGTTTGTAATTGGAGTATATTTTTTAAGCCACGGGATAGAATTTATTGATGGAAAGATTGATAAGCAAAAGAGGGGAAACAGAACCTGCAGCAGTGGAGGGGGGAACCTAATTGGGAAGTCTCCTGTAATTGAAGTTTAAATGTAGTTAGGATACAAAATCCATAGCCCATTTGTAAAAATGAATACTTTTATGTCTGGAATGTTACACTTTGGGTATTAAGTTAAAAGATTAAAGCATACATTATACTATTAAAATATGCTTTTCTTTAAATAGAGAGAATTACTATCAAGTAGAATTCTGAACATTGTCTTTCTCCTTGTCAGTTAAAAATCCACCATGAACAGTTTCATGAGAAAACCCACAAGACTGGAGTTTCTCATCTCTTTCTCTGCCTCTCTTCCCCAACTAGCACCACCCCTCTTTACCCCATACCCCATCTTTTGCTTAAGAGGGTACAGGGTTTAAAATTAAAAACTTGCCATTATCTTAACAGTGGCCTGTTTTGACTGTATTTTTTATAATACACTGTGTACTATACATCTTACTAACACATAGACACGTTTTACTGTAATCATATTCAGTCTGTGAAACTTTTCTGTTTCAGGCAAGGCATCTTTACATATGTGATTATCATAAAAACTTAATTCAGAGTGTTCGAAACAGAAGAAAGAGAAAAGGAAGTGATGATGACGGAGGTGATTCGCCTATTCAAGATATTGATACTCCAGAGGTAGATGAAAGTTTACCTATGTTTAATGAAAATCCTAAGTAGTGCATTTTGAAAACTTTTTAAAAAGATAGGAAGATTTTTTGAGGACCCATTTTCCTTACCTGTGGTGTTGGATAACTATTGGAGAAGAGTATGCATGGACCTTTTCTTTTGCTTATCACCTATCAGTGTTTGTGTATTTAATGTGTGGCCCAAGCATCTGTTACTCTCCCTTCCCATTTGCCACAGAGAAGAAAGAAAGGTTGCATATCCCTGCTTTAAAGCGTTTGAGAAATCTGAAAATGAAAGCAAAATTAAATATATCCAGTTCACATACACAATCTGAACTGTTGTATTTTCAATTGACATTTCTTATAGCTCTAGAAACTATATTTTCATAGAACTTTTATTGACCCCAGTTTATAATATTTATACCCAGAAGATTAAGTGTTTAATACTTTGTAGTTCTGATTACATAAAAAGCTTTTTGACAATGGAATTAATTTTTATTGTGGAGCGGCACCTGTGGCTCAAAGGAGTGGGGTGCCAGCCCCATATACTGGAGGTGGTGGGTTCAAGCCTGGCCCCCAGCAAAAAATAAATAAATAAATAAATTTTTATTGTGCTAAGGTTGAATATTTGTTATTATACATAGTGATGATAAGTTTCCAAAAAATTGTATGAACTCATTCATATATGTTAATGTTTTTCTAGGTTGATTTATACCAATTACAAGTAAATACACTTAGGAGGTACAAAAGACACTTCAAGCTACCAACCAGACCAGGACTTAATAAAGCACAACTTGTTGAGGTATATATGAGTTTTAAGCTATTTACACAAGCTCATCTACACAAACAAGGGGTGATTGAATGCTAATGAAATTATTAATGTGGTATACACAACAGTGCATTTTAGTTTGTAAGATTGAATGAGCGCTCCCTGAGTGGGGGTGGGGAGGAAGAATGGATGAGGTTAATAAAAATCTATTGTAGAAGAATCTAGTTTCCTAGAAGCGTCTGCCTGCCACTTAGACATTCCTTTATGTAATGACTACTCAATGGATTGTGTGCAGCACCTTCTCTAACACTGGCTTTCCAAATACTGAATGAGAATTTTTTTATCCTCATTTTAGAAATCAGCTTTAAAATTCCAGTTAACCAGTGAACATTTGAACATATAATCGAGGTATAATGAAATTAAGCTTTAATATCTTTATTAGAATTAATTTTTTAATTACTGGTGGTCTATGATAAAACATATCAGTGTGAAGACACCTTTGTTTTGGGACCAATGCGGCCCAAAGGACTGATTATGTTAAATATTATATATAAATATACATGTGTATATTTTAATTGCATATCATATTTCAATATCATATCTGAAATTTTTTATAAATTGACCTTCTAAAAACAGTTATATGTTTCTAGAGCTATTTTCTTTTTCAAACGTAAGTTGGCTAGACACAGAGGCTCACATCTATAATCCTAGCACTTTGGAGGACTGAGATAGGAAGATTGTTTCAGGTCAGGAATTTGAGACCAGCCTGAGCAACAGAGAGACCCTACCTATACAAAAAATAGAAAAAACAGGTGGCACCTGTGGCTCAGTGAGTAGGGCACTGGCCCCATATACGAGGGTGGTGGGTTCAAACTCGGCTCTGGCCAAACTGCAACAAAAAATAGCCGGGTATTGTGTCAGGCACTTGTAGTCCCAGCTACTCAGGAGGCTGAGGCAAGAGAATTGCCTAAGCCCAAGAGCTCGAGGTTGCTGTGAGCTGTGACGCCACAGCACTCTACTGAGAGTGACAAAATGAAACTCTGTCTCTAAAAAAAAAATAGAGAAAAACTAGCCAGACATGGTAGCACATGTCTGCCCAACTGCTCAGGAGGCTGAGGCAGGAGGATCACTTGAGCCCAAGAGTTTGAGTTTGCTGTGAACTATGATGATACACTCTAACTTGGGCAACAGAGAAAGACCCTGTCTCAAAAAAAAAAAAGAAAAGAAGTAGCCGTGAGTGTTATGCATTATTTAGTCAGAAATGCGGTATTAACAGATCAAGGGAAATACAAGTATAGCAATTATTTTAAGGGATTCCAGAGTTACACTACAGTCTTCCTTAAGTCTCTATTTCCTAATCTGGATTCCAATTATAAAACTTAAAACATATAAAAAGTACTTTTAATCAATATATATCGAATTAAGTGAATTAAAGGGTCTTTTGAAATCATACTATCTCTTGTTCATAAATCTTACTCTGATATTCATAGAATGCTTTTCATTTTATTGATATTTTGCTAAATATAATATTTAAAGGAAATAGGTCTTACTTTTTCTTTTGATGGAAGAAATCTATTAATATCTAAAATTTAATATCCTCAATTTTTTTCCTTCTAGATAGTTGGTTGCCACTTTAGGTCTATTCCAGTGAATGAAAAAGACACCTTAACGTATTTCATCTACTCAGTGAAGAGTGACAAGAACAAGTCAGATCTCAAAGTTGATAGTGGCGTTCACTAGGAGGGCTGGAGCGGAGACTCAGATTTGGATGTTAACCCTGTTACTGTTTTTCACATGTAGAAATGTTCCTTGTGTATTTTTTCTACAGAGGGTTTTCTCTGGTTTTATTTTCTTTGTTTCTGATTAGTTGGAAGCTCATAGAAAATGAGCTTTCCCAGATTAAAAACTATTTTAAATAAAGGGTTATTACTATTAGAGTTGCTTCAGTGTATTTATTCTGTGAAACTTGATTTTTCTTTTAAACTGAATTTTAGGGATCAATATTCATTGAGATTTTAATGTAAAGTCCTTTCTTTTGTAACCATTATTTTTAAAGTTCCAAGAAATTAATAGGTTAAGGAGAAGTAACAAGTGTGGCACTTTTGCCTTCTCTGGGACAATCTGATTTGAAATTAAATATATCTGAAATAATGTTACTTTTAAAAGTATCTTATAGTGCTAGCAGATTTGAAAGATAAACTTCCAAGTCAGAAAAAAGAGTTGCATAAGGTGTGTGAGCATTCCTGTCTTTGCATTTGTGTGATAACACAAGCAGGGCTGTATGGGTATATGCTTCTGTAATGTATTCATTTCTGAAAGAGTAGACTTGAATTTCATATTGTGGTTATTTCCAGAAAGGAGAGATATGAAGAATAACCTACAAGCAGTTCTTGGGTTACAGACAAACCAGTTTACAGTGTTCTGTACTTAAGAAGCAAGGCTCTCCATAAGGATAATTTAGAATTGAATGATTAAATCAATAAATCAGTTACTAGTTGTTCCTTCTCTGCTTGTGAAAACCCGAATGGTGTCAGTGATTTGTTGTGCACCATCTTTTTTTTTTTTTTTTTTGAAATGGAGCCTCAAGCTATCCCCCTGGGTTGAGTGCCATGGCATCACGCTCACAGCAACCTCCAACTCCTGGGCTCAAGCGAGTCTCCTGCCTCAGCCTCCCAAGTAGCTGGGACTACAGGCGCCCGCCACAACGCCTGGCCATTTTTTGGTTGCAGCCATCATTGTTGTTTGGCGGGCCTGGGCTGGGGATTTGAACCCGCCACCTTAGGTGTATGTGGCTGGCGCCTTAGCCGCTTGAGCCACAGGCGCCGAGCCTGCACCATCTTTACTCTAGATTAGTCTCACTGTTTATGTGGTCACTTACACACAGCATCACTTTTATCTTAACTTTTTTATTCAATTTTTTAGTCTGCATTTACCCCTGTGACCCTGACTCGAAAGTCCACTGCAGGTCCAGGTGCACCTGCAGCAAAGAGAAAGGTGGTTACAGTGGAAACAAAAGTAGGAATAATTAAGCATTGGGGGAAAGGGTCACTCATTGGGAAAGCATCAGCTTCCCTGGTTCTGTTGGAACAACTACCAAGGATAAAGTGAGAACAACAAAACACACTCAAGGCAAGGCTCCCTTGAAAGTATTAGTTATTACTAAGCAGCGTAGCAGATTAACTATTGAAATGGAAAGGTTGTGATTGATTTGGTGGGAAGATCAAAATAAGCATAACATTGCTATTAGCCTAGCATTGGTGCAACCTTAGGTGACGTTAACTTTTAATATTCTATTCTGAAATTTCTACTATTAGGCTGGGCATAATGGCTCACGCCTGCAATCCTAGTACTTTGAGAGGCCAAGGAGGGGAGATCACCTGAGCTCATGAGTTTGAGACCAAACTCTTGCCTCTAAAAATAGCAAGGTGTTGTGGCAGGCACCTATTATCCCAGCTACTCCGGAAGCTGAGGCAAGAGAATCACTTTAGCCCAGGAGTCTAAGGTTGCTGTGAACCATGATGCCACAGCACTCTACTGGGAGCAACAAAGTGAGACTGTCTCAAATTTAAAAAAAGAAATTTCTACTACCCTATCTAAACTTTCCATATGAGTTCGTTTTTATGTTCTATTTATTTGAATTAAAAGAGCATACTAGTTTCTTTCACTTCTTATTATAATATAGGGATATTATTATAGTGTTACACTATATTATTATCACATAGGAATCATTATAGTATTGCTGTCATTATGATCATCATCATGTATGTGCTATTCTTCAGGGATTTAAGTTATCTGTTATCTGTTATAGAGCCCAATCTAAAGATGTGTTCAGATGTGTTTCTCATCCATAACCTGGGAACCACCTGCATAAATCTATAATAACCTGTGAAATCCTATTTATTAAATGTTTAGCTTTTTTCAAATAGTATTTTTTCATAGGCTTTGATAGTGGTAAAAAAGGGACACTTATTAAAAAGCCATCATTGCCTCACATACACTCTCATGTTGATGTTTAATTTATCAATAGAGATACTAGATCTTTAAAGCTTTTTCTCCCTCAAGTAGAGTCTAGAAAATAAAACAGATTGACTTAACGGTTTTCTTTGTTTACATATTCTATTCAGTGAAGAAGAAAAGGCCAATCAAAGCACATGCTATCTTGATAAAACAAATATTTTGATTTTTCTTTTTAAAATTCCACTTCACATACCGTGTAGGATTTCATACTGTCTGAAAATCTGACACGCATGTGTGCACACTTCCAGAGCAACTGAACTGTGACTATCTACAAATTGTTTGGTCCAGCCCAGCACCACTGAACACAAGAGATACCAGATACTGCTCTGGCGTATCTGAGATCGAGACCTCCAAGGACATTTTCAATAAATATTGTCACTTTTATTCACAAAATGGTAGCTCCTAGATTGCCTATGTGGTGTGGTATTTGTCAAACTTTTCCCCATAATACTTTATATAGCACATTGATAAAAAATTGTCTGTTTATAATGATTATACTTTTGTTAGAGCACAAGTTTCAAAAGGTTAAGTTCATCTCATTCATTAACATATCCCCAGACCAGGCATTTAGTATATTTTTATAATATGAAAGACTTCCTTAAATAACCTCTGATAGCCAATGTGAGTCAATGAGTTATGTTCCCAAGCTATCTCCTCTAATAATTGGAAGATATCTTTAAAAGCACCTGTTTCATTTACTTCTAAAATTAATGTGCCTTTCCCAACCTGAGCAAGAGGGAAACCCCATCTCTACTAAAAGAAAAACTAGCTGGGCATTGTGGCAGGTGCCTATAGTCCCAGGTACTTGGGAGGCTGAGGCAGGAGAATCACCTGAGCCCAGGAGTTTGAGGTTGCTGTGAGCTGTGATGCCATAGCACTCTAGTGGAGACAGAATGAGACTCTCTCTATCTCTAAAGAAAAAAAAAAGAAAATCATATGACTTTAAATTATGTTTCTTTCAATGTGTTTTTTTTTTTTTTATTCTCCAGAAAAACTGATATTTCAGGGATATGTGATGTATCCTGGATATAAGCTCTGAACTCCCGTCCCTTTTGGCACCAGGGACCAGTTTCATGGAAGATAATTTTTCCACGGACTCCGGGTGGGGGAGTATGGTTTCAGGATGATTCACTTGCATTACATTTATTGTGTGCTTTATTTCTATTACTATTACGTCGTAATGTATAATGAAATAATTATGCAGCTTGCCATAATGCAGAATCAGTGGGAGCCCTGAGCTTGTTTTCCTGCAACTAGATGGTCCCATTCTGTATTTGCAGCTGCTCCCCGGCACTAGCATCATCTCCTCAACTCCACCACAGGTCACTGAGCATGAGATTCTCATGAGGAACTTGCAACCCAGACCCTTCACGTGTGCAGTTTACAGGAGGGTTGGTGCTCCTTTGAGAATCTAATGCTGATGATGATCTGACAAGAAGCGGAGCTCAGGTGGTGATGCCCGCAATGGGGATTGGCTATAAATACAGATGAAGCTTGTTTCCAAATGCTCTGCTAACCTCTTGCTGTGTAGCCTGGTTCCTGCCTGGTTCCTAACAGCCTATGGACCCTGGTCTGTGGCCAGGAGGTAGGTGCCACAGGTTTTAAGGATGTGGTTTGTGTGTGTGTGTGTGTGTGTGTTTGGTAGTGGTCTTTGGAACTGGAACTCTTAAAATTATATTTTCATTTTTAGTGAGCACCTTAAACTGAAGTTAACATCTGGAAAATGGGGCTGAGTATATTTACCTTGAAAGTTTTTGCTGCTTCTGTTTAAAAGAGTAAAATAAAATGTACTTAAAGTACTTGGTCTGTATGACATGTGCTCATACAGACCTTTTTTCTTACTAGGAAACGTCCAGTTTCCCTACTGAATTCTCTTACTGAGTTTAGTGAACATCTCATAGTTGAAATTTTCTAGCTAATTTTTTTTTTTTTTTTCGAGACAGAACCTCAAGCTGCTGCCCTGGGTAGAGTTCTGTGGCATCACAGCTCACAGCAACCTCCAACTCCTGGGTTGAAGCAAGTCTCTTGCCTCCACCTCCCAAGTAGCTGGGACAACAGGCACCTGCCACAATGCCCGGCTATTTTTGTTGTTGTTGTTGTTGTTGCAGCCATCATTGTTGTTTGGCAGGCCTAGGCTGGATTCAAACCTGCCAGCTCAGGTGTATGTGTCTGGTGCCTTAGCCACTTGAGCCACAGGCACCAAGCTTCTAGCTAAAATTTTTAACCAGTTCACAGGCAAAAAATAGATTGAACTAAACTTTTATTACTACTTGTTGAACACAGGTACACTTGTCTTGGACAAGTGCAAAATTATAGAAGCTGTGCTTTATTGCACTGCATAGAAACTGGAAATGCAGTTACACTGATATAGTGTTATTTGCGGGAAATTAGGGATGGTGTTCTCCGGAATACATGAAGATTCTCAGGGATCGTTGCAAGGAATCACAAAAGAGATCTTTGGTCCAAAGAAGGTATCTCTGAAAGAAAACAGACCATCAATTAAATTCAGCTGAGAATTAAGATACTTGTTAGCCTTTTTCTGGTTTAAAAATGGACAGTGACTCTCAGGGTTTCAGATAGGACTATTCTTCGGTGAATAATATACAACAAGATAAATGGGAAGACTTCCTACAGAAGCAATAGTTACCAAAAACATCAATTTTTCTACCTTTTCCCATTTGCCATTGATGTTATGTGTTTATCTGTAAAGAAAGAGAACAATTAAGTAATTCCCAAAATTTACAGTTATGTATAAAATTGTATTTCTCTCCTATGGGGATAGGCCATGAGTTTTAAATCTGTAGGTAAGGAACAGAAGGTTAAAATTTTCTTAGAAAGTCACTAAATAAGGCTAGTGGGAGAAGCAACTCATGCCTGTGATCCCAGCACTCTGGGAGGCCAAGGTAGGTGGATCACTTGTGCTCAGGTGTTAGAGACCAGCAGGAGCAAGACAGAGACCCCATCTCTACTAAAAATAGAAAAACTAGCCGTTGTAGCAGGAACCTGTAGTCCCAGCTACTTAGGAGGCTGAGGCAGGAGGACTGTTTGAGCCCAGGAGTTTGAGGTTGCTGTGAGCTACAAAGCCACAGCACTCTGCCTAGGGGACAGAGTAAGACTCTGTCTCTGATTGATTGATTAAATGAGAAATATTTATTCTTAGTAAGATCAGTCTCTTGCTGCTGAGAAAATAAAATCCCCAAAAATCAAAGAGAAGTTATTTATGTATATCTACACTGCTATTCTCATCCATTAACACAGATAATCACAAAATTTTATCATCAAATAAATGTAAGTCTACTTCAGTAAATTGCTTTCAAGTCATACAATTACAAAAAAGCAAACATTTTAATATTAGTTGGCATTCCATTCATGTAGTCTAGAACAAATTGAGTCATTCTGTGGGATTAACTAACTCAAATTCTTACAGTATCATAATTCATACAGTGATTCTCAAACAACAGATTCTCATGCAAGAGAATCAGCAGGAGGGTTTGTTAAAACATAATCTCTAGGCCCCACCTCCAGTCTCTGATTCAGGAGGTCTGGGTTGGGGTCCAAGGATGGATATATGATTTTGACAAGAAATCAGATCATTGGGAAGCTGCTGTTCTAGGCACCACACTCATAAAACAGCTGGCTTGGAAGCAAAGGAAATCTTGTCCAAATAAAAAACCTGAGTTCTAGTCCCAGTGCTGACGTTAACTGCTCATGTGGGAGGGTGTTGGCCTCTCCACGCAGCACCATTCTTAGGTGTGATGGCTGGGACTGCCTTTTCCACGTGACAGTTTTCTGAGAAGAATGAACATGTAATGGGGTGTTTGGAAAGTGATTTGGAAAAGCTAATTTCAGTATGAAAAATTCAAGATCATAGGATTGGAAAGGTTCCTTAACCAGAGTTTTCTTATACTCTCCCAAATTTCATTTGAATTTTTGCTTAAATGAAAACATTCTGTTCTTTACACAGCGGTGATGATCCTAGGACACAGCTGGCGTCTAACCAGGATTTTACTATGAAGGGTGAATAATTTCAGCAAATCCGTTAGGAGGCTGGCTTCGAAACAGTCATTCCGAATACATTTCACAGCAACACAATTTGTGGTTTTTTTCCTTACTTCGGACAGCAGAGCAATTCGCTGAAATTGCAGTAACATGTCATCTCACATCCTTTTCCATCCCAGAAGTGACCCTGGACGTTTGCGTCCAGCTGTGTAAAGTCAGGCATGCCTTCTGGAAGGCTGTGACAGTTGCGATCTTTTAGTATCTTTCTGTAGCAGGAGAGACGGTTTACAGGCACCGCTTGGATTCTGAGCAGCAAAGGTAACCCAATGATGACAGCGAATACCAGAAACTTCATTTTGGGTTTTGGTCCTGAGGTCAAAAACAAAACAAAATGAAATGAAATGTGTCAGCCTTTGTTTTTAAAAGATGGAATTCATCTGAACATGAAGTTCTGGAGTGTTCTCACTAACTCTTTGTGTTTCTCAGAGTGTAGTTTCTTCACTTATAGGGGTGTCTCAGAAGTCACCCATAAAATCACAGTTTAGGGAAAAGGAGAAATTGTAGCTAAATGTACCAAAGATTCCTTATAAAATTTTACAAAATACTTACAAAATACTCTCTGTTAGTTGCTACCCCATTGTACAATTTTGTAATGAATATAGTATTTTGTAAATAAATGTACATTTAGCTACAATTTCCTGTTTTCCCTATATATAGTGACTTTATGGTGACTTTTGGGACACCCTGTACAATAAAAACCATTTGGAATATTTGTTAAAAGTCAAATGCCTTAGCCAGACATGGTGGCTCATGCCTGTAATCCTAGCACTCTGGGAGGCCGAGGCAGGTGGGTTGCCTGAGCTCAGGAGTTGAAGCCCATATCTACTAAAAATAGGAAAACTGAGGCAAGAGGATGGCTTGAGCCCAAGAGTTTGAAGTTGCTGTGAGCTATGATATCAGGGCACTCTGCCCAGGGCAACAGCTTGAGACTCTGTCTCAAAACAAACAAACAAACAAACAAACAAACAAACGCACGCCTTAGCTTTGCATACACACACAAGTAAGAAATGCTGTGGCCAGGTGCAGTGGCTCACGCTTGTGATTCTAACCATCTGGGAGGCTGAGGTGGGTGGATTGCCTTAAGCTCAGGATTTTGAGACCAGCCTGAGCAAAAGCGAGACCCTGTCTCTAGTAAAAATAGAAAAACTAAGAGAAAAAATCATTCACTGAAGTAAAACATGCACAAATAAATTTCTGGGGAAGTACGTAGGGACACGTGTCTCCGTCCTGTGCACCTCTTTGGATCGTGTCTGTGCCAGGGTACAAAGCACAGTCTGCCACGGTCTCAGTAACACACTAAGATGGAAAGTTCCCCACTGTGCAATTTTTTTCCATATGTATGTTTTCAACACATTATAAATTACATGTTTGAACTGAAGCCTTCTCTTCTTCCTCTACAGATAAATAGCTGTGACTGTTATTTAACAAATGGAAAGGTGCCTAAGCCAGTATGTTCCTGGGATACATTAGCTGTTTTCCATTTTATTTTATTTCATTGAGACAGTCTCCTTCTGTTACTTTGAGTAAAGTAAACTGGCTTCAGTCTCAATCACAGCAACCTCAAACTCTTGGGCTCAAGCAATCCTCCTGCCTCAGCCTCCCAAGTAGCTGGGCCTACAGGCACCCACCATAACTAATCCAGCTAGTTTTTCTATTTTTATTAGAGACAGCGTCTCACTCTTGCTGGTCTCTACCTCCTGAGCTCAGGCAATCCATCCACATGGGCCTCCCAGAGTGTTGGGATTATAGGCTTGAGCTATTGCTCATGGCTCCATTTGTTGTTTTACTCATTAAAAGACACCTACCAGGCAGCACCGGTGGCTCAAAAGGGTAGGGTGCCAGCTCCATATGCCAGAGGTGGTGGGTTAAAACCTAACCCTGGCCAAAAACTGAACAACAACAAAAAAGACACCCACCTTAATCCTTGGCAATCTACCAAAATCACATATTTTCAAGTGCCAACTAGAGTGAAATGACTTTGGCCAAGTTGAAGCCCATTGCTCTATTTCTCTTCTCTTTGAGTTGAAGTACGTACACTTAAAATTTATCCTAGAGGTCAGGTGCAGTGGCTCATGCCGGGAGTCTCAGCTACTTGGGAGGCCAAGGCAGGAGATCAGGAATTCATCCTTTGAAGTCAGGAGTTCAAGACCAGCCTGACCCCATTCTCTACTTAAAATAGAAAAACTAGCTGCGTGTGGTGGCATGTGCCTATAGTCCCAGCTACTTGGGAGGCTGAGGCACAAGGATTGCTCAAGCCCAGGAGTTTGAGGTTGCTGTGAGCTATGATGCCATAGCACTCTATCCAGGGTGACAGAGTGAGATTCTTTCTCAAATAGAAAAAAAAGAAAAAGAACTGAAGATCTGAAGGAATAAGAAGAGACTCTTAGATAGTTATCTTTTTTTATTTTTATTTTTTGATTCAATTTTGTGTAACTAGCATTGTTGCTAGTGTTGCATGATGCCATTCACGTCCCAACAGAGGGTGTGATTTTTTTTTTCCAGGTTTTGACCAGGGCCAGGTTTGAACCCACCACCTCCAGTATATGGGGCTGGGGCCCTACTCCTTTGAGCCCACAGGCACCGCCAAGGGTGTAATTTTTTTTTTTTTTTGGTAGAGACGGAGTCTCACTTTATTGCCCTCAATAGAGTGCCGTGGCGTCACACGGCTCACAGCAACCTCCAGTTCCTGGGCTTAAGCGATTCTCTTGCCTCAGCCTCTGGAGTAGCTGAGACCACAGGCACCCGCCACAGTGCCTGGCTGTTTTTTGTTGTTGCGGTTTGGCCGGGGCCAAGTTTGAACCCACCACTCTCGGTATATGGGGCTGGTGCCCTAGTCACTGAGCCACAGGCTCCACCCCAAGGGTGTAATTTTTAAAAGATCAATGCAGAGGATACAGAATTAAGACCAAGACATTTCCAAAGAAGCCGTAAATCACTGCCACCACCACTTGGTAAGGAATTGCATATTTTGATTTTGCTGGAGCATTTAGCACAGGTAAGCTTTTGAATGGCTAGAGTTAAACAGAGACTTAAAAAGAAAAATTCTCCCACTGACTGGCCAAAACTAACAGAGCTCTGCAGTTTAAGTGTTCAGACATTTAAGGTGTGATGTTCAGTACAAGCAGCTGATGTCAATTCTGGGAACCAGTCTTAAGAGCAGTGGAATGAAACAGAGGTGATGAATTAAACAGAAAGGGCAACCTGTTTTCAACTTCTCTGAGAAAGCAGCAAGAGAGAAGCAAGGCTGCAAAAGCAAACGAAAACTCCAGCCCAGCCCTTGACATTGGAAAAATCAAAATTACAGTTGGGAGATATTAAATTTGGTGTCCAGTCCATCCATCCAGATGGATGTTTCTCATCCATCTTTCCTGAAGCCTGAAAAATCTTTATTTTTAGAATTCTGTTTTTCTTATTAACTGCCCAAGCAGAGGCTTACATCACAAGGACCAAAGTCCTAAAGTAAAATTTCTCGACTTGGCGCCCATAGCTAACTGAGTAGGGCGCCGGCCACATACACCGAGGCTGGCAGGTTCAAGCCCAGCCCCAGCCAGCTAAACAACAATGACAGCTGCAACAAAAAAATAGCTGGGCGTTGTGGTGGGCACCTGTAGTCCCAGCTACTTGGGAGGCTGAGGCAGGAGAAGCACTTAAGCCCAGGAGTTGGAGGTTGCTGTGAGTTGTAAAGCCATGGCACTCTACAGAGGACAACATAGTAAGACTCTGTCTCAAAAAAAAAAAAAGTAAAATTTTTCAGAGTGTGTATTCAAGGAACCGAGATGGTAGTAAAAAGTAAATAAACAATTTAGTACCAAAAAAAAAAAAAAAGGAAAAGGAAAAAAGCGAATAAGTCTTTTCAGTGTCCTTAAAACAGATATATCAGCCTAAATACCCAAGATACCTGTATTGGTGGAGAAACAAAAATCTGTATCCCCCAAGGTACTCTCTCAGGCCATGCTAGAGGCTGATATTAATATTTATTCCTGTGTCATTCTAACCTGGCCACACTAAACCACCATCCTTGGAGAAAAGGAGCAGCACTTGGGAGAGTTTGTTGCAGCCCATGTAAAGTAAGTTAAAACATTTCCAAGTGGAATTTTTCTGAGCCCCCAAGAGAAAAGTGTTCTCTTTATCTTAGCAGTACAGACACCACGTTGTGCCCCAGGTGAGGACACCAAGGATGAGTGTAATGAATTACCTCTTTGTATCACACATTTACACCAAGTTTCTTTTCAGGAATTGGGATTTTTAAGAGCAAAGAAAAAGTACTTACTTAGATAGGGCAGTGAACTTGGTGTAAGTAGGTAAGATGAATATTATCTTTCTGCTGCATTCAAAATAACCTTCCACCCTTCGTCATCTCACATAGTACTCAGGGATGCAGCACAAGTCCTGTTGTGTGCACTATATTCAGGGTGGGTTTGGGCATAAAATGATTAACAGTGAGGAATCTGCCTCTTTGTCAAATGATGGTTAAATGACTCCACCGTCGGAGCGTACACTTTCCAGTGTGACTCTCAGCCTTGATCCTCAGAAGCATCACCTTTTTCAGAGTGATGAAAAAGGTAGAGGACCCTCCTTTGTTCCTCAGTCTTTCCTTTCTCACTCAGCACATAACATACATTTCTTAATCCTAATCTACCTTAGCAGTTTGAAGCAGAAAAAAGAAAAGCTAAGATTTTTGTTTTTTTAATAGAGAAAAAAATTACATACCCTTTTCTTCTTCTCCTTTCCTCTTGGTCTTCCTGGGGGAGGAAGCTTCTTAAATGCCTTGCTCTCTGGGTAAGTTTGGGCAAAAGAAGGAGAAAGGAGGTGCTTGGAAGGAGGTGCTTCACAAATGAGCCTTTGTCGGCCTTGTCTCTGGCCTGGAATTGCAGACGGGCTGCTCCAGCCAGGACCCGGGGGGGGGGGGGGGGCGACGCCTGTGAGCTCGGCCTCCATCCCGCGGAGTCTTCCAAACCAGGCGAGAATCAATTAAAGAGCTTCTTTACAGAGAACTGACTGCTCTGTACAAGGACTTCAAGGAGGCGGACTCTTGTAGCAATACAGCATAAAACCTGAGGGATTTTCAAAGAACACAGGGGGATTATTACTATTAGTATTTTTTACCGTAAGAGAAATAGATGGGGAGGGAAGGAGAGAGAGAGAAGATGAAGCAACAGAAACAGAAGAGGAGGAGGAGGAATGGCCAGCTGGACGCCTCTTCCCTTATCCACAATTTATTGTGCGTTTTTATTTTTAAGTTCACTAAATTTTTCTCACTATAACATTTGGGTGGAAGATTTATTCCAATTCCTG